AGTTTACTTTCTTCTCCTTCCGTGTCCACCCGTTCCACTCCCGTTCCACACCGTTCTCCTTCCCGCCCTCGATCGTGTACCGATGTTCCCCGCGTCCGTCCTTCCCGCCCTCGGTCGGTCGCGCACCCACGTGCTCGCGGTCGGCCGTACCGTCTGTCGTCCACCGATCGTTCCCCGCGCGTCCCGAGAGATTTCCTCTGCCGTCGGTAAGGTGGGTTTCCACTCTTCCGCGCGCGCTCGTCTTCGTCGTTCTCTCCGTCCGACGCTGCCGGCGCTCTTCTCACCGTCTGCGCCTGACTTCGCCTCGGTCGAGACAGTTTTCGAGTCCACGGAGAGTCGTTTCCCGATCCTCATGACTACGCTCGCCGGTTTCCCGAGACTGTTCGGTCTCGCCGTCCGTCCTTGTGTCCGAGGGATCGCGCCGGCTCGGCCGTGCGAACCGAGTCGTCCAGGTTTGTCGTCCTTTCGTCTGTCCACGGTCCGCGTCCGTCGTTCGTCCGATCTAGGTTATGTCTCCTCGTTCTCGTTCGATCCACACGGTTCCCCAGACGTCTTCCCACGCGATTCCCTCCGTCCGATCGTGCTACGCGTGTTTTCCCCCGCGTTTCTTCCTGCTGCTTCGTGCATCGACGCGTACCTCCGCTCCGCGCGTCCGGAGACGTTCCGTTCCCTAGCCGCTCTGCCCTCTCTTTGATGTCGTCCGTGTTTGCGAACGACCGTACCGTTTCTCGCTTTGTACGTGACGATTCTCCATGCTCCTCACCCTTCTCTTTTTTTTTTTTTTTTTCTTTTCTAGCGTTCCCGTTGTGGCGATCGAGCGTCGCTGGTTATCGTACCAGGTACCGGCTGCCTTGGTTCCAGGAACCGCCTACCTACCGAGAACGGGTCGTCGAACGCGATCCAGAGAGAGAGAAGTTGGCCTCTGGTAATTGTCAGCGATGCTGTCTTGCCGAAGCCGCCGAAGCCGCCACCGCCGGTGTTTCACCGTTTTCTCTCGCCCGTGTCTTCTTCCACTGTTCCAGACGTCGTCGGCCGAATCAACGAGCTGGTGGCTACTGACGCGACCGGCCGTTTGTTCGCGGTCGTCTACCTGGGCGGTATGCGACACAAGGTCACGGACGGTGACGTCGTCACTGTGTCGGGACACTGGCCGCCTCGCACGGGTGATCGACTCGCGTTGGAGAAGGTGTTGTTGGTCGGCGGCAGAGACTTCACGCTCGTCGGAAGACCGATTTTGAACAGAGAACTCGTGTCGGTCGACGCCACCGTCGTTCAGAAGACCTTGTCCCACACGATCACGCGTTTCAGATTTAGGCAGAGGAAACAATTTCGCAGACTCAACTGTAAGCCTGAGTCCCTGCGCGTGAACCGACCTTTTTCTCCGTGTCCCTTTCGACCTCACGTACGTTTACTTTCCAGTTTATAGGATACACAGGACCATGATAAGGATTGACTCTGTCAGAATAAACGGAGACGTCGACGAGAAGAGAGAGGTCGAGGGCTTGGACAGAGTCTACTGAACGGTGTCGTCTGCACTTGTACGAATGCGTTTCTCCACCCGTCCTGTACAATAAACTTGTTGTTCTTCTCGTTGCTGTTGTCTGTCGGTTCTTTCGTCCGGCGTCTGCCTGCGTCCGTCGAGAGCGTCTCGTTCCTGGACTTCGGTCCGTCGCTACGGCCGATCGACTTCCCGTTTCGTCTTCGCGCGCGCGCGCGCGTTGCACGGCGTGAAACGACGGCGGGAGGGGGGAGGGGGTCCTGAACGAGAGAGAGATGTGGAATGACGTCACGAGCTGCGGATGCGAGGAGCTTTGAACGAGAGTGGCAGTCAGCGGCAGCGGCAGCGGTCAGTTCTGCGTCGTACGTTGTGTGCTCGCGATGAGAAGCGACGCCGCCGGCCCGATCGATCGCGCGAAACCCCCCCGCCCGTGACAGTTGCTCGTGAACCGTGACGTGAAATGGGTCGGTGTTTTTCTCCCCGTCATACGCTCGCTCGATCGTGTTAGACGATTCTCCGTGAGAGACCGGAAGATATACATCCTCGCGTCCGCGTCCGACGACTGTGAACGGTCTCCGCGCTCGCTCGCTGTGGGAGATCCGGCGTGTTTACCGTGAAGCTGTGTGTACTGTCGCCGTCGCCTCGCCGCCCCGAGTGTCCCGCGTGTCGCGTGTGTTCCAGAGAAAATGGTGCTCTCCAAGTGTTACGGGTGCGTCAAGTACTTGTTGGTCTGCGTCAACGTCGTATTTTGGGTGAGTGAACGAGACGACGCGTCTTCGAGACGTTGCGTCGCTTTCGTCGCTTTCGCTTTCCCCGGAGTCGTCGTCGTCGCCGACCGTGCCGAATCGACGACGAACTGACGATTCGAGGTACGGGTACTGCTCGTTGTCGTTCGAGTTTCGTTTCGATCCGTCGACGAGAATTTCCACGTCCGTCCAGGGAGATTGGGGGTCGTCGCCGTCGCGGCGGATTCGATCGATCGATCAGAACCGTGCGTTTCGATGACGACCGGGGGTTGCTTTGTTCGTACGGGAGCGTGACGTACCGAGAAGCCTCCGGCTCGGTTCGATGAATTTAACGATTTTTACGAGTTACTAGTACGGTTCTACCGACGACGAATCGTTCGATTTTGGTGCGCACGCGGGGTATTTTTCGTCCTGTCGAATCTTGCTGCGCGATACTCGCGTATCGGGTACTCGCGGCCGAGCGTTGTGCCCGGGAGATTGCACTGTTCCGTGAGCACGCGACTTCTTCGCGTTCTTTTCCACTTCTTAGCGACCCGAATGTCTGTTGCGCGTATGCTTTCTTCGCAGTTTCGTTCGTCCCCGTTGGTGTCGTCGATTTTCATTCGAAATGTCCTCGGCTTTCCAGTGATTCGCGCGACGAGTTCTAGGAACCGTGCTCTGAGACTCCTTCGATTGATGTCGATACGATGATGGTTTTGCGTCGTGAGGACACGCGATTCGCAGTAGTAGCTGGAATCGATTGCGCCTGCAGGGGTGGGAGGTGGGGCGACGCGTGTGATGTATCGCGAATTCGTCTGTCGACGATTCGATTCCGATTTGATCGCGTAAGAATTGTTTCGTCCGACCGAGTGAAGAACTGAACGTGGCGTACGTGTTCCTCGAACCGCGTTCTCACGAGTTCCCGTCCCCGTTTTTAATGATGATCGTGTCGATGAGAGATCGAAGAATGATTCACGGTCTGAATTGAAATCGCCGCGACTGTAGATGATGCTCCGACGGCTGGGCCGTCGTGCGTCGACGACGTTTCGCGGTGAGACGTCGACGATCGTGGTGCTTGTGTCATCGACGAGACGAGCGTCGCGCGCGCGTCTAGTTTGGAAATTGTTTCGGGGTGCGATCGGTACGTTTAAATATAGATTTCCAGTCGGAGAACGAGTGTGTGTTCTTCCTACGCTACGTCCCGGTTCCCCTCGTCCCCTCTTCTCTCACAGACGTCGTCGATCGACGTGCTTTACTTCCGTCCGGTCTCTTGAACTGTGCTCGGGAACGGTTTTCGATTTTTAGCTTTCTAGACGAATCGCGTCGAGCGAATCCGTACGTGCCTGCGAGTAACCATGTTTCTGCGGAAACGTGTCGACGTTGAACTTGGCATAGTTGGCGCCGAACGGTGACACCGAATGCTTTCGAAGAACGGCTCTTCACTGTGGCCGCTTTCTGTGTACTGTCCGATCCAATTTCGCTTCGATTGTTGCCCGATGTCCCTTTCGTTCTGTCGTTGGCAGAGATCGATGCGAACAGCGGTTCGTTTAAACTTCCAATGATGACTACCCGTTTATTTTCGTTTTACGCAGAAATGAAATCACGACGCCGAAAGGGATTCTGACGTCGATCGTGTGCGTTTAGATTCTATCGCTCTGGCTGGTGGGTATTAGCGTGAGGAAAACCGTTTGTACGGACGTTGACGAGCGTCTGTGTAGCCGTTCCCTTTCGCTGTAGACTCGCCGGATGATCGCCGAGACTGTTGATGCGTAATGTGAGCGCGTGGGTGCCGCTTTGCCGCGATAAATGTCAGCGAGTTAGCGCACCGGTGTAGATTCGTAGATTCGTCGGTCCATCTTGACCGTCGTTCTGACGAAGTTTGCGCGGGAACCCGTCGAGAACGAACTGGGCGCGTTTACAGCTGGAATCTTACGTCAGCACGTGGGTGGTGAGATGTTGGGCGTTGACCAAGCGATTATCGCTTGCGTAACGCGCAAAGATTTATTCTACGAGCCATGCTGGAATTAGAATCGATGATGCTCGACGATGCACTACCGATACGGGCGACTCCTCGATCGATCGCGATCGAACGAGATTGGGAATACGGTCTTCCAACGTTCTCGTCTAACGTTGGACGCCGTTCGAACTTGAGATTCGGTGTTTGATATCTGATAGTGTCGACCGAGAATCCGCTTCGTCCTCCGTGATTCCTGCGTCAGCGTTCGCGGCTCGAACGACGCCACGCGTGACGACGCGCTGAGAATACACAGGAAGTCATCTGTTTGAGAGGCACGCCTCCGGGCATTGCGCGTCGAGTGGAAGTCACGAGCGCGTACTCGAGTTGGCTTGACCCAGTGAACCTTCGATCACGATTCCTGCTGCTGCTGCTGCTCCTGCTCCTCCTGCTCCTCCTCCTCCTCCTCCTTCTATATGACCCGCGATAACACGAGGTTTGAGGCTGTTTCGTGATCCCCGATCTATTGTCGGCCGGGTAGAAAGCGCAATTCTAATAGTTTCTTGGTAAATCGTGTGCGCGCAGGGATAAAGATTTTTACTCGTCTGTTGAGTGGGTGGTGAAGAACGTCCTACGCTCTGCGTTTGATCGCCAGTCGTAAATGGAGCGACGTACGTGTTCTGATTTTTTATCGATTTATGCAGCTCTTGACTTCTTTCCTACTGTTTCCAAGGATTCTGTTATACGTCGCATGGGTTGCAAAGTACCGTGGGCTGGGTAGAGACGGTTTCGGATGGTTTGAGGCTGTCGGCTGACGAACGTCGTAAAAGAGGACGGCGGGCGGAGAGAGAATAGAAAAGTCCGAGCGTTTTGACGGGGAAACGTCTGGTGGACGAGCCGTTGAAAAGGGCGCGCCCTGCCCCGGTTCGCCCGTTTCGCAAGAATACTTCGTTGTTTATCCATGTAGCGCATTGTGAGCGGCGCTCGAGCCAGAAGTGAACCAGAATACTCGTTCCCTGCTTTCTCCTGTTTCGATGGGGCCACCACCAGAGAAGGTCGGGCGATATTTTTACGACGGAAGTAGGAAAACGCTTCGCTTGCACACAGTACGTGTCTGTGTACTTGCTGTGCGTCTGCGGTATTGTTCTCGCGAGAGAAGAAAAATGATTGTTGAACAGGTTCGGCGATTGAAACGAGACGACGACCGTTGGAACAAGAAAGAGAATCGCTTTACGAGTGATCGAATATATTCCGTGTACAAATTTTATTCCGCTCGTAACTCCCAGCTGCTGCAACGCCGCCAACCTTCTCTCCACCCCCTGCGGCCGGGAGACAACGGTACTCTGTTTGTCGTGAAAACAGATCCAGTGAAATGCTACCTTCGAAAAAAACTCCTCTTATCGGTGTCTACGACGCCAGACAGCTTCTCGGAAGCGCGCGGCTCGTAAAATTCTGTCCCGCTCTCTCCCGCCGAACGTTTTTCCTTGTACCTCTCTCGAAAAGGATCTCGACGTTGTTACCCAATGAAACCGTTGGATTTTCATCGCAGGTCATCGGCTTGGCAGCGATAGTCGTAACGTCATGGTTGCTGTCGGGGCACACGTTTCTGGTGTCTCTGGCCCAGCAACAACACGACAACTTTTACGCGGGCCTCTACATCCTGCTCGCGGCAGGGATCCTGGCTGTGATAGTGTCCTTCCTGGGATGCTGCGGCACCTTCCGTGAGTCCCGATGCATGCTGGTCACTTTCTTCAGCTGCCTACTGGTGATCATCGTCGCGCAAATCGCGGCCGGGGCATGGTTGACCACCAACAGCGGCCGCCTCGAGGAACTGGTCAAGAATTCCGTGTTGGACAGCGTCAAGGTACTACTGCGTGCGCGGCGATGGGTACTCGGCGTTGTCGAAAATCGAACCGGTCCGTCGATGGGAACTATATGTATAATCACGTGTACATAGACCGTCCGCGCTCGACCATTTTTTACAGTCATCGGTCTGTTCCCGTTGCCCGTTGGTCGTTACGCGAGCCTGTGTAACGATTGATCCGTACGTCGTTCTGAAGTGAAGACACTTGTTGGACGCGGTTTACTTTTTCACGCGTACTTCCTTTTTCTCGTTCGATACGGCGGAGATCGGAGTTAGGTCTCACGCGTTCGGCACTGTGATCGAACTGCGCTCGGACCGTACGAGAGTGTTTTGTCGTGTTCTCTCGTGTTTCAGAACAAGTACGGCGAGGATCCCTCGTACACGGACACCGTGGACACTTTTCAATCGGAATTGGGTTGTTGCGGAGCTACCGGCCCGGCCGATTGGACGGGCAGCAAGTACGCGACCAGGGATCCCTCGATTCCTGTCAGTCTCACTGTCTCCGGAGATGCAAACAATCTATACAAAGTGCCCGACTCCTGCTGCAAAGTCAAAGACAGTGCCGCGTGCAAAGCGGCCCGGGACATCAGAGTGGGAAGCGCGGTTAGCCCGGCAATTTACAGCGAGGTAAATGTGTCTCTTTTTTTTAGCACGGCTGAACGACGTGTCGCGCGAGACCGCGATGTGTTGTAACAACGACACGGATGTCCTCCCGCGATGTCGGAAGGGATTAGTTTTTGGTTGTGAATCGCGGACAGAGTACAAATGTGCAATATGCATGCAGACATTGCAGACGCCGTTAGTTACGAATCGCCGCCGGTCGGCCAGCCGTCTACGTGCCGTGCGTCCACGTGGCTCGGAATAACGGCCGGGTGAACGCACGGCGATCGTCACCGCCGCGAAAGCTTGATCCCGGTCCTGTCCGGAATACCAACCGATTCCTCTGTTTTGTCCTTAGGGCTGCGTAGACAAGCTGATAGCCACGATTGACAGCCAGAAGAGCATCGTGATCGTTGTATGCGTGAGTATATTGATCGTGGAGCTGCTCGGGCTAATATTCTCTTCGATATTGTATTGCGCCATACGTTTCTCTGATCGATACGTGAAAGCCTGAGCGCGATGATTCCGGTGTCGGTGATCCTTCCTTACGCCACGTATCGTTCTGTCACCTATCACTCTGACCGATCTGATTTGATCTCTGTGTGCCAAGAATCCGAACACGTTTCGTGTGTCTGTAGAATCCGAGCAAATCGCTGCTGGCGAATATCAGACGAAAAAGAAATGAATCTATCGATCTTGCATTGATAACAGTCTGATCTCTATTGCCAAATCCAGCTCAAAGATGGAAACATGTCTTTCTCGACAGTTCCACGATATTCGTCCGATTCGTTCGATTTACGTTCACGATGATAATGACTCACGACACCTGGAGGAAGGTTCATACAAAAATTTCATCTCTACTGACAAATGTTCTTTTCGTCACTCGTACGTCATATTTTTGTCCGCGAGCGACAGCATTTAACATTTTACAGAGTACCCAGAGATGATTCGCGTCGTTTTTGTTAGGCCAAAGTAGTAGACCAAACTAACGTTAATGTGTTAATAGAGCGAACGAGCGAGCGAGAGGGAGAGAGAGAGAGAAAGATTGGGGGGGGGACGAATTGGTTGGACTTGTTACGCGAGCAATGAGAAATGCGATCCTTCGTTGCAACTTTTATGTGCAGACTTTAATTACAAGTCGAGCAGTTCCAACGACTCGATTCGTTCTGTTCTCCGTCTGATTGTTGTTCTCGTATAGGCACAAAGTGTTTCCAATGCAGCAGAAATTTTGTTATTTGTGCTGTACGGTTTGGAAACGTTATTTAAGACTCGTACACGATATTATCATTCGGTTTTAAGCGGCACCAATTTTAACGCACGTGTACGCGTGCATATATGTATACATTGTAATGTAAAAGATGATACTCTTCTTAGGAAAGTCGTCGTCGTCGATCTGATCTGATAATAATTAAATATTGACGGGAAAATGAGATTGTATCAGTATTGTAAGCTGAACGCTATTGAACGGTTTTGTCGCGTTATAGCGTCACGGTCTATCCGTGCGTATAACGTCAAGTTATAACGTGGGGACGATTTGTAAAACTGTCTCGGGGCGAAATGATGTTTGTAAATTTGTACCAAGCGGTGGAGTAAAGAACAGACGGGAGAAAGTGGTAAATCCTTTTAAGGAAGAGGCAGAGGAGGGCACGGCTGAACGGAGTCGACGGCTAATTTTGTACGCGTTAGCTCGTTATCGTACGAAAAATCGTACGGTCCGCGTTACGTATAGATACAGTGTTTTCTTAACGACGACGAAGAAAATGAATTACGAGATTATTCGGCAGCGAATCGGTCGAACGTGTAAGAATTTCGCGGCGCTTTCGAATCGTCGCCGTTGTATGAAATTGTACGTGTTAAAGAGACAGGGCGGCGGCGGCGGCGGCGGCCGCGGCGTCGTCGTCGTCGTCGTCGTCGTAGTTACCTTGAACAATCGTGATGCAAACGTCTAAATGTTTCGATGGTATAAAACAATGTGACGGTAAGAGCTGATTTTTGAATGGTCGTGTCTTAGGTAGAGATGAATACTTAGTAAATAAGAGGTGTACAATGATAATGGATGCAATGTCTATTAATTGTTCACCGCTGATCGTCGAACGAATCGTCAGGTTGTAAAATAAATTTCACCACTGTTCAGGATACAGTGCTACTGTTTATGTATTAATAGCAGAGAATAACAATGGAACATTTGCACTCGGAAATGAGTACGATGATGATGATGATGATGATGATGATGACGATGATGATGATGATGATGATGGTACAAAGAGAGACCGAGGAAGTCGAATTTAAATTCCCTTCGTTTCGCCCGTATACGCGGTCGGTCCACGAGAATGTACGCCAGCCGAATCGCTTTGTAATCCACGCGGAGCGAACGTACAGACCACGTATGTATATTTATATATACACACATATATAGTGTCTAGTCTGTAAAGAATAAACTCCTGATTTACCGGGTTTTTCTTCGTCGTCGTCGTCGTTTAAGAATTACCCCGTTCCTCGCACGGTTTTCTCACGGAAGGAATTAATACATCTACGAACCGAACAATCTCATTGTTTATACGTTGTGTTATAAAAACGTTTACGCCGAGCGAGGTGTTGACTGAGTTTATCACTACATTTCTATCCGTGTTTTTTTATCTATTTTATATACATTTAAAAATAACAATGTACACCATTTGAGTGATTTCGCAGTCTTGTATGATTGTTTCTTTCTTTATGACTCGAACTTCAAGAAATTCTGGTCAAACACAATGCGGATAATCGGCTATGCGTATACACGTCGTGTATCTGATGTTATCTATGTAAAAATAAATAATAATTAAGAATGTAAACGGATTGTTTGATCAGAAAAAAGATATGACGCTTCGACTGCTAGAATTTTAGTATCGAGCGTAATGATGTTCTGAGCTGCATAAAACGAAAAGGAATTGGAATCTTCTTGACATGATGGAAAAACAAAGTGACGCACACCGCGAGGAGTTCCACTCGTACAATGTTTTCGATTTTCATTATTAATATCGATATTTATATAGTATTTATGTGCAGTAGGATTTACGTATAGTGTATACACTTATATAAACGTACATGTATATACATATTTTCTTACTGATTTATCAAACAATATTCGAATTTTCATTCTTACTGATCGCTTTATCATTTGTCATTTCGAGAGAGAGGAAGAAGCGCTTACACGACACTGTATGCACCACAACGTCGTCGTCGTCGTCGTCGTCGTCGTCGTCGTATGCTTCGTTGAAAGACAACACGCGTTTCAACGTCGGTAATTGATAGGATTAAGATTTAAGCGCACTGAAGATGAATCGGTTTCCCGTGCATCTCTATATAGCGCACGTGCGCGCATACTCGAACGATGTATCGTCGAACGAGACGAATGGTATTACTTTTGTCGTATTTTATGGATCAACGCGCCGAGCAACGTGACACACTTGTGAACACAAAATTACACGATTTACGAGTACATACGTTCATTTGCAAACTTGTGTATGTTAAATGTTACATGAAACATGTTTAAGAAGTTCAATATATACGTAATCATGGAACCGAGTTCTTTACGATCCCATAGATTCATTTTCATGTCCCTACGTTTCGGAGAAGAAGAAGAAGAAGAAGAAGCACGCCCTGGACTTGGTGACGCTCCGTAAAACGAGCTGGCCAATAATTCTGGGACAGTGGTGGACCGTGGCATGTAAAGTAAAAGGGAACAGTCGAGACGGATGGCGCGCAGCACCGCTTTCGATTAAGGCACGTTGAAATCCCACTCGCGAGCACGTTCATTTCCTCTCCGGTGCGGCTTAACGATGGTCGAAAGAATTAATACAACGATCACGAACGGCTGGAAACGCCTGTGTTCGAATACAGATTTATCATTTAATATTTCACGCCAGGCAGCTCGGAGATCGATTTAAATTCTTGCTCAACCGCCGCCGCTGACCAGCGCGTGAACCTCGCGACTTGTCCAGAATCTTCTGCTTAAAATAAAACATTTCTGATGTCAAATTAAAAAATGAAATCTAGACTCACGTCTTCTCTTGCTCTTCACCTAATGTCCCTGTGTTTCCGACTTCTGCCGACACGCTGCACGTTACGTGCATTATTCATACTGTTTTCCCGCACACGTTCAGTTTCTCTCTATAAATGGATCAAACCTGCTGCAGTCTAATCGTGACCCTGGCAACGTGGAAAACAAGCGGTATAATAATTCGAGAAGCCAAACAGTCATTAGACTGCGAAGCGTTATCATTCTGTTACAAAACTTCTTCTTTTAATTATTCTTGGCTACGACTGTTCGACTGCTGTCAAATTAAGTGCTAAAAAATTCCTCAAAGTTAAAATTACCGGCGAACGTTTGCGGTCGCTTTCTGCGATCCAAACGATGCTGCTGTACTGTATTCGATTGACAGGCCGGTGTTCAGAGACTTTAAGATTTCGAACATTAGCTGTCTAGCCCATGTTCCCGGTCCCCCTGATCTTGACTCGAGTAAACGCTCGAATATAACGCTTAAATATAAGTAACGCGACTCTGAATACCGGCCACAGAGATTTTCTTGAGATTTCGAAAAATTTGTACTACCGATGAGCTGGAGTAGTATAACTTGAACAATAAGTTATCAAAGTACAAAGCACGAATGAGACGATTGATTCCTCTTAGCCTCCTCGAAAAACGAAGTTCTAAAAGGAGACTGGCTGCGCGGCGGCGGCGGCGGCGGCGGAGGAAAGAAGACCAACGGAAGGAAAAAGTAAAAAAGAAGCGACACGAAGCACGGCGCGAGGCTTGATGCACTCGTGGTGGAGGAACAAAGAGAAAGTGAGAAAAGGTGTAGGAAGGAAGAAGGGTTCGATGGAGGGAGTACAGGTGCGGCTGGCTGTACGTCGTCCGGAGCGCTCCAAGTGTAAAGCTGTCCGTCGTGGTCGTCGAGAGGCAAAGTCCTCTTTTCTGCTCCGCCGCCACGTTCTTTACGTTCAATCGCGCAAGTCGACTCGTTTTCGGTGTCGCCAACAGGTTGCCTTTCCACGTTGCGTTTGGTTCTTGCGACCACGACGAATTCAAACTATAGATCTCGTCTTATTCGCCTTGTTCACGTGTCAGTTCGACGACCGAGTGTATCGCTCGAGAGATTTGAGGAAGCGGAGATAAAGTGATATCCAGATTTCGGGAGCTGTTCGATGAAACATGAGAGCAAGGAAATTCCTGAGGTGAATTTGCCGGTGAGCTCGAATGAATCACGACCCACTTCGTCGGGTCCTTCCTTCCTTCCTTCCTTCTCGTTCCTTTCCGCCTCCGCATCGCGCTTCGAACGGTGAATATTTACTGTCAGCTACGATGCTCGAATAATCGCTTAATTTTCGAATCTGCGAGACCGTGTGACCGAACGACATCGTTAATTCATCTGTTTCGTAGAAGCAGTGAAAGTGACCACTCATTTTCCTTGTTTATTTTTTATCGTACGTTTTTAACGTACGACTCGACGAAAGAGAATTGTAACTTCGTTTCTTATCGGTACAAACGAGCCGTTCACAGAACACGGACAAAGGAACAGGTAAGTCTTAATTTGTGATCAAAGAGAACAATTCGGATAGAACAGAAACCGTGGTGGAGAAGATCTTTTTAACGTACTCTGCGTCGGAACACGTTCAACGGCAAAATGCAGCTTATAGTATCTTCGCGACATTGAAGCATTCGATATCACCTGTTGCGTGGGTGAGAGCAAGTTTGGCGTTTTACGACTATGACGACCTACTCTTCGTATCCGGCAGAGCACGGTCGAGATATATCGGTAGTTCGATCGTGAAAAACGGACATGATCGAGGGGGGGGGGGGGGGGGGGGGGGGGGGGGGGGGGGGGGGGGGGGGGGGGGGGGGGGGGGGGGGGGGGGGGGGGGGGGGGGGGGGGGGGGGGGGGGGGGGGGGGGGGGGGGGGGGGGGGGGGGGGGGGGGGGGGGGGGGGGGGGGGGGGTGCGTAATAGAAAAAAAAATATTTTTGTACACAGTCACCGTGATCAGATAATAAGATACCTGCTCACGGGCAATCGTGTGGTAATTGTGTAGTAACTGTTCCAACATCTCCTTCGTTGCAACCAATCGTTTAGCACTATTACGAGCGTAGTACTGCGTGGACGCTAAATGTATTATTACGTTTAATAATTACAGACTGCTATAACGAGAACAGAGATCGATCGTTTGTCACTACGAGAAACGTCTACGTCTAATTTTTACACGTTTTATCTTTAAAGGCACCGTTTCTGTGTCTATTTGAGTTTGTCTAATACGGAACGCGTTATCGCGAATTTTTGCTCGGTCTGTCTCGCTCACGTTCGTCGATCGGGAGGGAACAAATCGCGGAAACCCGAGACGAAGACCGGAATCCCGATCGAGACCTCGTGTTCGGCGTAATTCGGCCGGTGAAGAAAATCGCACGTTTCCTTTACGAACACCTGCCCTTTCTTTCGCTTCTCCGACGAGACGAGAGGTCGATACGACCGATCCCATCGTCTCCGGAGAGGACACGACAGATACTCATTTTCTATTACAGTCATATCAGCGGGAGGAATTGAAACGATGAGTTTAACGTTCGAAAGCATTAGATAGAAGCCAGGACGATAACTCTTGACGCAAGATGAAGAAATACGGATACGCGATACTTTTTCTAATATACGCGTCCACCGCTGAATTATCCAATAATTGCGATGACCCTAACTTGCATTCGTTGGAAACGTTGCAAACCGCGAGACTGAAATGCGGTCCGTCCTTTAACAATAGCTGCCTCTGCATGAGGACATGCTATGAGAATCATTATCAATTCGTTGTCAATTGCACTGATTCGGGATTCCGCGATGCGACACCGTTGTCACATTTGCCGAACGAGACGCAGGTAACTACTATTGAATTAAAAATGTGTGCTGCTCGTGAGTTGTCGTTTTGCCGAGCGCTCTTGATTATTCTCCTCAGGTCCTCGTGTTCACCGGGAACTACCTCGAAGAGCTTCCATGGAACGTGTTCGGTACACTGGACAGTTTGCCTTATTTGAGAGTAATCGACATGTCGAACAATAAAATAAAAGAGATCAGAGGAAAAGCGTACCACCACGTGCGACGGGTCGAGCGGCTTATTTTAGATTTCAACGAGCTGTCGTTGGACCCCGCGAGGAGTCACCCGAGGGTGTTCTCGAATTTCGTATCGCTGTTGGAGTTACATTTAACCGACGCTTTCGAGGACGGACCGCCGCGAGACCTCGCAGAAACGTTGCACGACATTTTCGTCAACAGCAATCTGACGCAGTTGATAAAGCTGCACTTGGAGCAGAACGAGATATCCGAATTCCGGGACAGCAACGTGTTCTGTGATCTGCCGATGTTGCTCGATTTGTATTTGGGCGACAACGCGCTCACCGCGTTCCACTTCAACGTGTCCTGCCTCCACAAATTACGATTCTTGGATTTGCAACGAAACAAATTCGCGAGAGTCGCAGAACGCGATTTGCACGCGATGGACGCGCTTATTAAGCGGAATCAGAACGTATCGGTTGACTTTACTGGAAATCCGTTGGAATGTTCGTGCAAGCTGAACCCGTTCGTCGAGTGGATGAATAAGACGAAGGTGTTTATTCGCAACAAGGACAATCTGAAATGCTTCGAGGCAGCAGCAGCAGCAGCAGGTACCTGATCCGACAGGATCATGGTGGATGCTTGACAAGTCGTTAGTTTATTAATAGTTTATCCGTGATTGTAGGTGATCCTGGGAAACCTCGCGAGATTCACGAGACGAAGAATTGTACACCGAGATTGTTCTCATCGTCCCCACGGGGTGCTGCGACCGTTTTATTATTCTTCCTTAGCGTAGTGTTAATAGCACTCGTCTGCGCCTTGATTTACGTGCAACGGGCGAAACTGCGAAAAAGGATCGAGCCTATATTGGACTCGGTGAACAAGAGGGTACGGTACACCTCGATAGCTACCGGTGATAATCGCGAAGACGTATAGCGAATGTATACTATAACGGAATCAACTTTGACTAAGTCAGCTGCTTCGAATTGTTAGAATAAGTAGCCTACTGAAACTGAAATAATATAACACGTCCTAGCGATCAATTTAGTTGTTAGCGTATTTAAAGCCTCGATGCAATTTTTTAAGTATATGTAACAAAGAAACGCGTTTAATTTTAATACTGTTATCGCCTCGAATAAATGTTATATATATGTTTGTACTTGTGCGTTATCATTATACTGATCGCGGTTCCCCGGGTATCGATCACTTGGTATAGTCGTTTAAAAAATACACGCACATTCTTACTGAGCTTCTTATCACTGTCGGCTATCAGACTGCTGTCTTTACGATATCGCATACAGATTAGATAATAAATCCGAGTGCCTGACCGTCCCCGCGTTCAAATGCTTTTGTAAATCTAACAAGTGCACCAGCGGTGAATATCTTCCGTCGCCGTCGCCGCCGCTAAATCAGCATCATGTCATCGAACAGACGCCTTCGTCTTGACGAGGTCGTTACGTCGTACCCGGAGCTGGGACCTACGGTCCCGGACGGTGGTTACGCGTGGATCGTTCTTTGCGGGGTATTTCTGGTGCAAGTACGTACAAGTGAAGTAAAACCGTGCGTAGAGCAACGTGGTGGTCGATTGACAGTGGGTACGTCTCTGTTTACAGATGACTGTCCCGAGTGTATTACCGATGTACGGGGTAGTATTGGCACGCATACGAGAAATTCACGTGTCTTCGATCGAGTATATATGGTACCAACAAATTGTACTGACGCCGATACTGTTCTCTGCGTTTTGGACTCTGGCAGGTACGCGACGACGACGACGACGACGACGACTGTTGTTACAAACACACGTAATGGTATTCCACGAGAAAAAGCGAGATGGCTGATATTCGTTAAACGTGTTTCAGATCCTTGGTCGAGAATAGTCGTGAGTATGGCACCGGTGCCTTGTCTCATTGGAATAATAGGCGTAATGCTGATGGTGGTCGGGATCATAGCGTCGGGATATCTTGCGACCGGTGGAGTCGGTGCTTATTTGGCCAGCACTAGCGCAGGAGCGGTGATGGGCATAGGCGCCAGTTTCGTTATGCTGTTGAGCGACCATGTTCTTAGGAAATTCTTCAGGAGGAAGCTTCTTGTCGCTCTAACGTTGAGAAACGTCGGGACTTCGTTTGGTTTCGTAATCATACCGTGTATCACGAGTATGTTGCTACACGAGGCAAGTTTGAAAACCGGTCTGCAACTAATGACCGCGTTCCTATTGCTTCCTGCAATCGGAACAACGACCTTCCGGCTGCCCTTAGAGCAGCAGGCCTCTCCTTACAGTTTGCTCCTGTCGACCGAGGAGGACACGGAACTCCCTGTCAGAATTCCTCCGGACCTTTCTTCCGCCGAAGATTTACAGAAATTGAACGGCCAGCGACAGGATTTGGAAGATGATCAAGAAGCGGAGCGGTCGCGCATTGACGGACAGTCGTCGGGTGACGGAAGTAATATGTACGCGTACGAGGACTTTGACGAGGACGTGGATCTGTTTGTGAATCCGATTCTTCCCGATTCGGACGGCAAATGGAAACAGCGGCGACAGCAGCAGCAGTTTCAGATGTTCAAGAATTGCCGGTTTTGGTTCGCAATCGTCGGTTGGGTCGGGATGAAAGTGTCCTTCCTCTTCTTCTGGATACTGTTACCCATTTTAGCTTACGAATGTTACCACGCTTGGATCTCCGTGTCCGTTACCGCTGGCTGCTCTACCCTTCTGCCAAATCTGATCAGTTGCAGGGTACTGAAGCTTACGAGTCAATATAGGAGATTATACTTTGGCATGGCATCTTGGCTTTGTGGTGTCGGTTTAATAGGTATATCTAATTTACTACCTTTGTCAAAAACGTGTACCAGCGTTCATCTTCTTATTCTTATTGTCTAGGCTTGGGGTACGCGAGCAATTATTGGTGGCTAACGATTTTTACCTTTCTGGGCGGCGTCAGTATAGGTACTTTATCGAGTTGTGAGGACGTAGCTCTGTATGATGTTCTCGGGACGGAAACGGTCCGATCTGTTCACAAAGGATTTTCAACTGTAGTCGGTCTTTGCATGCTTCTCTTCTGTTTCGCACGCAGTGAGTTCTCTTATTTGAAAAACTTGTTTTCTGTTATTGAGAAAAAGAGCGTGGGTATCAACGACTCGGATTACACGAACGAGAACGAATCGATGAAACCGATCTTCTCGTCACCACGAACGATCCACAGGGCAAAACGGCTACGGTACAAATCGTTTCTCGTTACAGGCACGACTCTCTGTTTGAGTCTAGCAGCTCTCTTACAATTTCTCGGTGGACTATTTTGGATCTCGTCGCCTGCCTTGAACTTGATCCTGAAAATCACAAGTTACAGCTCGGCTCGAGCTAAGAACAGAGCACGGGTAGACGGGGAGACGTGATTACAATAGTTTTAACAGTATTATTGATACACTGATTTTACAGTACATCTTAGTTTAACTGTATTTACAAAATTCGTATTCATATCGATCACAATAATCTACATATTTTATTCTGGATATTTTTTTAGAAATAAAAATAGTTTATACGCGGTGTATGTATGTATATATATATATATATGTACTATATAAAATCGTAAAAATAGATATATTTCTTAGAGATTAAAAAATGGGCATCGTCTAATACGAAAAAACAATAAATATACGATATATATAATATCTCTTTTTCTGCTAGTACTGATATATTCCTTTGTTGCACGTGTTTACACTTATACGTGTATGTACATATGTATATATGATTCGCGGCTACATAGTCATATACGTATAGGCGAAGAGTCTTCCAATCGTGTTTTTATTGCTACGATGATCGCGGGAAAAATTATAATAACTACTTTTTAACTTACTAATATAGTTTTGCACGTACACGGAATAAATTGTTCTCTTTCTCAAAAAATCATTGCTGTATGTGTTGTGAACGTGTATTGAACATCACTTACCGATGAATTTATTACAGACGTGAAAAACAAGTATGGAATTTTTATCAACGATTTATTATCCGAATACTGTGAGCACTGATCCTATGAATCTCTATGGTCTCTTGTCCACATGTAACAATTGAGAGTCGAAAAATTTCTGGCCCACCATTCAACAGCTAAATTTGAACAACGTACCTTGTTCACCGATCTGATTCCATAAATCAGTCTCGATTCGGGGAGATCGTTAACTTGTTCCCTCCGACATATCGAGTACAGCGATCTCTGTTATAACAGATCTACCGTGTTCCCGTTCAGGAGCAGCAGCAGCAGCAGCAGCAGTTTTCCTTTCACGTTTTGCTTTCAAAGATAAACAAAATGATTGAAATCCGGCGACACCTCTCAACCTTACAAGGCACTCTCGAGTCATCTTCTTTCGTTAAAAATTGTTATATAACTCTTGTACAATTTCTGCGAGTATCGCAAACATATTCTTTGCAGCCCTTTTTTCTAGCTCTTTTCGGACCGCTCTACACTAAATTGTTCTCTCGATCGTTTTCACGTATACGATCGTCTTCAGTCGGCCGTTTGCTTGGATGAAATCGTTGCACCGTTTTCGCTAAACGCACTACGAAAAAACACAGTCGGACACACACACACACACACACACACACACACACACACACACAGTAGGATAGACGAATACGCATACACTGTAAACAAAATATCCACTCATCTATTCTCTGCACCGTTATTGTTCGACCATGTATATACACGTCTATACTGAGCAATCGACATTCATATACTTGTATCTGTGATGACAGTGATCAGCCTGACATGGAACGCGAGAACTATATATCGATACACGTACGCCATCGCGATCACGAAAGGAGTATGATTTGGAAAACTTGTGTGTGTTATCCACGCAGTAAGACATGTTCGACATTTCGATTTGTACCTGGATTTCAAGCCTTTCCACGAGCTTCGACTTAGGGCTCGCCCAACTCTGGATCCTTCGGATCTCTCACGGTACTAGGTCCCGGATCGATTTCCGACGACGATGATTTAGGGAAACTGTTAGGCATTCGACTGTACTTGTTGTAAGCGCTAGCCGGTCTCGAATTGTCCAAATCGTATTCCGCCGCCTCGTTGTTCTGCTTGATTTCATCGTAAACGTGTTCGATCTTCTTCCCGTCCATTTCGTCGATGCTGTGATACACGTTCAGGTTCGGATTAGCCATATCCGCGTCCTTGTTCTTCAGATCGTATCTACCGTAGCTCCCTGAACAGAGACAAGATTTTTCTTTTTTTTGTCCAACCGTTCTCACTCGTGACTGACAAAAGTCATTGGTACCTTTGCAATCGTCTTCGTCGTCCGTGCAACTCGTTCCGAGCCTTGCCTTCTCGTTGTTCAGCTTCTTGTTAGTTCCAAGATTGTTCTTAAACTGGAAGTTGTTCAACAACGTGGTGGTTCCGTCGTCGAACTTGGAGCAGCCTTGGAAGGCGTACACCGGATTATCGAATTGTGTCTGTTCTGTAATGCGGCGTCAGCGAAGAGGTGTTTTCTTTTTAGTTTATAGAACTCGACTGGAATTAAATTTTTCCACGCATACACGTACCTTGGGGAGAAGTGGGCTCGGCTATGTACTGTACCTGTGCGATCTCATTCTTCAAGTTCGCCACTCTGCGTCGATGATACAGCCAACCGGCGAAGGTCATCGCAGCGACCGCGATCGCAGCGAATAAGAACCCTACTACTATACTGCCGTAGCTGGCCTTCTCTTGAGTATTACGCAGAAATAGTTCCTCGTCACAGTTCGGGCCTAGAGTTCGGGAGACGCCGCGTTATTAAATGCTTAAAAGCCCGATGGTAACCTGAATTTTTAACGTGTGTTCAACGAACGAACCTCCGTATCCGTGCCTGCAGGAACAACCATACGCAGAATGGCAAACGTAATACTCGTTCTTGCACTCGCATATTTCCATACAGTGATCACCGTAATATCCTTCCGGGCAGACTAGAATAATCATCATCGTCATCGTTTAATTTCTCCACCGCAACGATTTCTCTTGGCTGTTTCTCGTCGACTTACTCTCGGTACATTTAGTGCCCATCCAGCCACGCGCGCAACGGCAGTGACCGTTGTGAGACGAGCATTTCCCTCCGTTCTGACACGTGCACTGCTGACTGCAATTCATTCCGTACCTCCCTTCCGGACACGGCGTTTGACAGTATTCACCGTACCAACCAGGTCGGCACTGACACGCACCTGACGAACGCGAAAGAAGCGCCGATGAACATTAAAAAGCTCGGTCGTTAACTTTGCTCGGTGAGTTAACACTGGGCAAATGCGACAAAAAAACGTTACCCGTCACGTGGTGACATTCTCCACCGTGTTTGCATTCGCAGTGATTAGCACAGTTTAATCCGTAACGACCGGGTGGACAGGGATGCTCGCAAGTCAAGCCCAAGTATCCAGGCCGGCAGATGTACTGGCCAGTGATGTGATCGCACGTCATGTTCTCTGAAACATTGTCGGGATGAGCGGCGCGATTGATCGATCGATCGCTGGAAACTGACACGATTAGTGAACACGAATGTCACGAATGTGAAAGTGTCTACCTCGCTTCGGTCCATACGCAACGACGTAATACGGCCAAGAGTAGTTATCGACTTACCAATTTTTTTCGAAATTTGTCTCAGGATAGAAAAAAGAAATTAAAGAAGCCGACTGTTTTGTCGTGCAAGTTGAATGAATTAGTGCGAAACATTTATCTACATGCTCCTAGCTACGTGTTATTCGAATTAAACAAATTTCTACGGGTACGTGATGCAGGTAAACTAGACGCGGCGTTCTATCGTGCTCTAGGAAAAGTAGTTGTTCTATTTCGCTGCCGTCGCTCGTAACTGCTGTTCTTTACCTTGCATATTTTCTGGGCACTCTTCCTTACATCCCACACCATACCACCCTTCGTTACAGGGCTCGGTGCAGTTGGGACCCTTCCAGCCTCTGGCGCAGATGCAAGCGCCTGTTTCCGGATCGCATGAACTATTATTCATACATTCGCAATGCGAATGGCAGTCTTCACCGTAAAGACCATCCGGACATTTCGTCTCGCAACGGATCCCTATACACGTATCGTAAGAATAAGAAATTCATCGAGAATCGCCGTTAAACATCTTCCACTGTCGCTTGTTAATCTTAATGTTCTCAATGTAATTACTTGAATAAAATTGTCAAACGACTCTACGTGACAGAGATGCGAACAATGGTGTGTAAGTTGGAGGAGATGACAAGAGTGATAACGCGAGGAAGGGAGGTGCTTTCGGAGGGTTTCGTGCGCAATGGCGATTGATCGATGAATTAAAAGAGAGGAAACGAACCTCGCCATTCCGGCGTACAGATACAACGACCGGTGATGGGATCGCAGCCCAAACTACTGATTTCCTCGCAATCGCAAGACTGGCGACATCCCAGACCGAAATATCCCTTCTCGCAAGTGTTTTCGCAAAGTTCGCCGGTGAACCCGGGCGCACACGTGCATGTGCCTGCAGAACATGTGTGTGTTTCGGTGCGTGTGAAGGAAAATAGACGAATTGAAATAGAATAGATATATGAAAGACTCTGGTCTTTGGAAGTGAAAAAAAAAAAAAAAAATCGTTGCAACCAGCACTCTTACCGTTTTGCGGATTGCAGGCTGCATTGTTCAAGCATTTGCAGTCTCCCTCGCAGTCTGTGCCGAACTTGTTGTCGTCGCAGGGGCGATCGCACGAGATACCGGCCCATCCTATCGAAATTTAACGATAACACGTGCAGGATTCAAAATGAACAGAAGAAACGAACGCGACAGCTGCTAAACTAAACCGGTGTCTGATCAGTTTTCAAGCCACTTACCGTTCGCAACTTGTAACAAAATCACAACTTATACTAGAGGCCAAAAATTTGCAGTTGACAATCTACAGTTAATAATCTCCATGCGATTTACGATCGTACAGAAACCAAGTTCGGCAAAAATAATTAAATCCAAGCGAACGAGACCGGCGGAGACTGCGTGTAAAAAATCGTACGATCGCAAAGTGCTGATTATTTCGAGGCGAGATTCGTCTCTTTAGAATTGTTAGTCGTTAGAGATGGTGCGAAAAGAAAATAACTTTTAATTACCTGCCGTACAGTTGCACTTGCCGTTCTCGGGTGAGCACGTGGCACCGTTCTTGCATACGCACTTTTGTGCACAATTCTCGCCGTACGTGTTCTCGGGACATACTTCTCTACAATTCTCACCTCTGTATCCGGCAGCGCAGATACAGGTTCCGTTCACAGGCGAGCATTGCGCGTTGTTCGCGCAAGTGCAACGCTCTTTACAGCCGTCCCCGTAAGTATACATTGGACAAGGTCTGTCACAAATTTCGCCCGCCCAGCCAGATTTGCAGATACATTTGCCGGTCCACGGATGGCACATTTCCGTCTTGTCGGTCTCGCACACGCAAGGCTGCGCGGTGAATAGGTGCGTGAAACGGTGACGACGACGAGAGACAAATTCTTTGAGCCGCTACTCACCTTGGAACAGTTGGGTCCAAACATGTCGTCGTCGCAAGCACGTTTATCGCATTTCTCACCCGACCAACCGTCGCTGCAAGAACAATTTCCATCGATCGGAGAGCAAACTGCGTTGTTGGCGCAATTGCAAGTCTTTGTACAATTCGCGCCGTACGTTCCTTTGGCGCACGCGTTCAAACACTGCAAGACGAATTTTGAGTTTCGAAAACACGCTTCGGCAAACAAACACGTCAGAGAGAACTTACCTTCTCGCCAAAGTAGCCAGGTTTACATTCGCAATCGCCAGTAACGTGGTGGCAGCCACCTTCGTTGTAACAGTCGCACTCCTGGAGACAGTTTTTACCCCAGAGTCCTTCCGGACAACGGCTCGCGCAGACCAAGCCCTGAGATTCACGAGATTCCACTCTGAAAACTCCGCGTGCATCTCCGCGTGAAGAAATTCTGAACACAAAGTAATACTCACGGTCCATCCGGGTGTACAGTAACACTTGCCGTTCGTCGGATTACAAGTGCCACCATTTTGACACTTGCACTCCGATTTGCATTCGTCGCCGTGTTTGCCCGGTGGGCACAGATCGTCGCAGCTACAAGAGAACAAATTGATCGAAACATTTTTCAAATCGACTACGAGAAAAGAAGCGAACACGATATGCGGCGGCGACTCACAGCGGACCCGTGTAGCCAGGAGCGCAATGGCACTCGCCAGAAATATGATGGCAGCTCCCACCGTTTCTGCAACGACATTCCTCGCCGCAATCTTGTCCGTACCGATCCGGAGGACACTCCTTCTCGCAATATTTACCGGTCCAGCCCCTCGCGCACAAACATTTGCCGTCGAACGGGTCGCACGTGGAGTTGTTCTCGCACCTGCACTCCATCTCGCAAGACTTTCCCCATTTTCCCAACGGACATTCTGTCGGAAAAATCGAAGGTGGTTGAGAAGATACCTACCGAGAAACGTGTGCTTCGTTTCTTACTGTAATCGCACAATGGCCCTCCGTATCCCGGCTCGCATTTGCAGACGTCGGGCGCGATACAAGTGCCGTGAACGCAATTGTCGGAGCAGATGGGAATGCAACGTTTGCCGTCTATAGTCTCTGCGTAGCCTTTGCAACACTCTTCCACCGGTCTCTGCTTAGGGTGGACCTAAATCATTCGTCGTCGATTAGCATTCCGTTATAAGCATAACTATACTCACGACGTTCCTCACCTCTTCTTTGTACACCGTTTTGTACACCGTCTTGTATTTGGAGCATCGTGGCGGAAAACTGAAGCACCACGTCTCCTCGCGGACAGTGTAAGGTTTCTGCTCCGATACCCTCACTGTCACCTTATACCTGACACAACGAACAAGCGTTAAAAGGACTCGCGAATCATCGTCGTCATCGTCGTCATGATTGATAACGCGAAATTGCTACGTAAAAATATTTAATTTAAATGAAACTCACGTTTCTTGTCTAATGCATATGTTCGGCCCTTCCAAACCATCGACGATTCCTACAGCTGCGATAGCAGCCAATAAATAAATCGATACGGCCATTACGACTTGGATCACTTTAATTATAACGAACGATAATGCACATATAATTGCACGTGGTGGATGTATATCACATTGCTCCGGGCAAAACTGCTTGATACATGTCTATTATGGAATCTCTCTTTGTAGACTCCTCAACATCGTTTCCAGTCTGAAAATAACATTCCTCTGCGTCAAATTAATCGTTGATCAGTTTTCTTACGAAGAGGGAAGGCGATAAAAGAATATGTAAAAATGGTCCGCGGTCACGTACGTCACGAATTCGAAGAAATTCTGCCGCGTGACTTTGCACGATGATATTCCATGAGGATCGGCCAGTTTTAATCTCGCAATTTGCTACGACGATTAATTAAAATAGAGGCAAGCTTATCGCGTTCTATACTTGGTCGAAAGGAATTTCCTTTCTTTTTAAGAATCGACAAGTCCAACGATTAACGGTCAAGAATGAAACTCCCTTCCATATGTGCTAATGAACGTTCTCGTTCACGGTCTCGGAAAGGTCGGAAACGCTTTGGTCGTTTTACATGCACGGCAGCTACGCGTTATCATCGCTTTATTTCGCGTGACGCGAACGTTCGATTTGAAATTATTTGTTACAAGATCGAGTCACAACCCGGTGAAGCGGATTGCATATTACAACTTCCGTGTAGTGTCATCAGTAGTCGAATAGAAAGTTAAACCAAATGCTCGGCCAAGAAAATAATGAACGTAATATTGCGTCTATAATCCTCGCATTTTTCCACTGGTAGATTTCAATACTCTAATTGCTGCTGCTTTAGTCAAAACGACCACCACCGCCACCACTGTTTCGAATTACCGTTCATTATTCCTAATAAAAAGTTAAAGACGGTCTTTTAACGATCTTTTCTCAATTGTCAAGTGGTTTTGAGAAAGTTATGTGGATACGTGCAACTACTTTCTTTGTTTCAATCTTTCGGCTATTCTGAGCAGTTGACGGTTCACCCACGGCATATGATCGAGGAAGTCGCAAAAGATCATGTTGGAGATCAGCAGGCTCTCTTTTTCGGTGAGCTCGAGACGGATCGGATGTCAGCAGGCGTCGTTCCACGCTTTTTGTATCCGGATCGACCAGCCTTGAAGCACGATACTTTTTCTCTCGGTCGTTTGTATTCTGTGGTGATGGAACTTTAACGTCGCGGCGCCGCCGCCGCCACGGTAGAATTGAGAGAAGAACGTACAAAAATGGATTGAATTTTCAAAAATCTCGTATTCTCGTTCCTACAGAGACCCGAGAATTACCGCGCGTACCTTAACCTATTAACGTAACCCCTTAACGTATTAACCTTCTGTTTACCGCGCGTTAAAAATTACTTGGAAATCTATTTGACGATGTAGTCTCATCACAATGACCGTTGGGGCAATAAATCTGAATTTATGTTTCGTGGTGATTTAGTCAAAAATATAACTGACGAATAAATATGTAAATATTTGCAATGAATCTTTGTGCGCTCGATTTTCTCGTCTGTTTGACACCACTTCCGGTCGCGAGTCATTCGATCCACGATTTGCACGTGCTCGTAAATGAATCATACTCTAGTCGCTGTGCTAAGAGGAAACGTGATCTAGAGACTCGTGTGATTCACACAGATTTTTGCTGAATGCTGGGCATCGAACGGTTCGTGTGTGTGCGTCGCAAGCAGCAGCCAGTGTAAAGTCAACATTTTTGTCATTCCCCATGCCGACTGCCACCGGAATTAGAAAATGGATTCACAGAAGATGTTTAACGTACATCGCGACAATCACACCCACGCGTCAATGAGCCTTGTGAATAAAATCCAGCTTGAGGTAAAGCGTCGTAATGATCATCGTCTACGTAACGTAACGCTCGCTCACGTATGGTAGAAACGTCTGTTTTTAATGGTGCACCGACTCGAGTAAAGACCGAGTGTGCCGTTGATCGATACTGGTCACAGTAAGTAAGCCACTACGCACGAATTAACGCCGCGGGCTAACGGTGTGTTGGGTTCGACGTCTTTCGAGCAGCAAGAATGGAATGCGGGAATCGAGACAGAAAGGTACGAAGGGTCCGGTTTCTGATACAACGCAAGGGTGTCGAGAGCAGCAGGTGCACGGAAAATAGCATGCTCGTGTTACTCATACAACAATTGAAACGAACGTAATCCCGCGCAGAGGATCATTAATTATTATTGTACAGTCTCATTAGAGACATACCCTCCTATACCCTGTTTGTCGCCGTTACAATTAGACCGCGGCAAATTTCTGTGTGAAACGTAGTCTATTAAGGAAACGCATTCCAGATTTATGTACTCGTTTCATTTTCCGAGAGTCTACTTACACTTTCCAATTTTCTAACAATCTGTGTGTGTGTGTGTGTGTGTGTGTGTGTGCCCGCCTCGCCCTCGTAATGGAAATACGGATCTTCTTTGTGAACTCGTGTGTCGAATATTAAATACCGGACGAACGAAATTCTTGGTCTGGAAAAGAGGTCTGCACTCTCTTTGTGCATATCAAGCGGAAAATAACCCGTCGCCGCTTTCAATACATACACGCACGTCTACTACTGTTGGCGGCTGGTTTCTTGGTCGTCGTCGAGCGTGCGTGTAGTATATCAAATGAATGAATATAGCCAATGTGTTCCAAGGCGAAAGTAACTTGCACGCCATCGGTAACGAGTTACTCAATCCTCGCGTTTGATAATTGCCCACGTTCCACTCGCGAACCGCGAGTTCAATTTTCTTTGAGTTTTACCCCTGAGAATTCAAGTAGGAGATCGCATAGTGTTTCGTCACTGATTCGACTCGCGTATAATCTCCGATTTATTAAGCTCCCGTGTGCGCCGGTCAAGAGTGGGTACGCTATCGCGAACGACAGATACCACCGGAAGAGTCAATTCAACGGCGGGCTTCTCTACGGCACATTTATTTATACAAGAGCAAAATAGAACGGACCGTTCAAGTGCGTTAATTGATCGCCGCCGGCTCACACCGACCACGGTGGCACCGTGCACCTGAATACCTGAGAACCGCGGCATTGCAAAGGAATGCAACAAGGAACGTTCATCGCGCTGAACGAATGTGCAGACGGTGCGATGAGTAAAAGCTCACGTTCCATAAATTTCTACCGCTTATTCACACTAGCACGTGTCTTTGCTAATTCTACGCTCGAACGTTAGAGAAACATTGAAAATAAAATGGACAAGACTTCATTTTCTGCGTACTTGTTATACGAACAAAAAGGCGGGCAAAGGTAGTTGAAAAAGGTAGAAAGGTAGGTACGTATCACGTCGCGCGAGGAATATATTCAACCCACGTGTGTTCGATCGATTACGTACGTCATTTATCAAATAATAAGTTGAAGCCTATTTTTGGTGCACAGTTTCATTTGACATAATATAAGACGCTGCGGCGCGATTAGAATGTTGCGCGTTGACATCCTTGAACGATCAACTTGTAAGTATACCGTCGACATTCCGCGCGGTATGTGCCGTGGATGTTCTGATGCGAACGCGTAATGTCGTTCTACTAGAAACACGTACAGTCAGTCGTGACTCGTCCATTTGCGTAACCAATTAATTAACCCAGTGTAGCTTCAGAGAAAGAGAGAGAGAGAGAGAGAGAGAGCGAAATCGCGCTCAGATGAACCATGTGTTTCATAAAGAATTAGACTGTCCATGTTCAAACGATGTTTGACGATTCGTTCGAATTGCAGATGAAAAATATTTCTCAAATCATGCATTATAATGACAATTGTCCTTTCAGTGACTTGATACTTTTATTACGCTTTTCACGAGATCTCGCCTGGCAGCAAAACTTTTACAGTCAGACGCGGCGTTCATCGGGCCTATGTGTATATGTATACGTTCGTTGTATGCGTATAGGAACACGATTGTATAACTCTGTGCAGTGAATGGAGAGACTTTGCAATTAAGAGCAAGTTGGTCACCGGGTGATGGTTACACTCTCGGCATCAATTACACCTTATAATCGACTTGCCTGACACTCGATTACCCGACCCTCAAACATTATTTCTACTTATCAAAGAGTCGATGATTTTTAAAAACTGCTGAAAATGTACACATCCTGTTGAATCATTGAAGCGCATAATTTCCTGGAAATACGGATCCCGTAGTTCCAAGAACGTTCGATGAAATGTACGTTCAATTTTATTCATTTGCCATCATCCAGCCGATCGGTGGAAAAAAAAAGTCACACGCTAACAAGAGGGAGTCGACTCTTTTAAAGGGTATACGAAAAAGAAAAAAGATTTCAGGGCCAGAGACGATAATATGAGTCACAGGAAGTTGAGGCGAGTTCGTGATGAAACGACATCGAACTTATCATTTGTCAACACATGGCATCATCGAAATCATTATGGAATTACGCGATTGTTTCGACTGGATAGTGATAAACCAGTTCCTGAACTTTCACTCGATCCAGAAGGGTCTCGGGATTCATTTCGTATCTGTTATCTAATAAATAAGCTTTCACTTAAAACGCTATGTATCTCTAACTTTGATAAAATAAATTAGAATTATGACACAGTGTATGCTTCTTAGGCAATGAACCGCATAATCTCTAAAGGATGTCCTTATCTAATCACCTCTGTTCGCATCATGAGAAGGGGATGAACCAAAGTATCTTTGGATGCCACTCGTCGATGCACTCTGTTGTATTTAAAGAAAGAATAGGATACTTGGTGAAATCGAAAAATGCGTGTGTGTGTTTTTTTTTTAAAGTCACAGTTGGAATTGACAACATTTCGCAACAGCTACCACCTTAAAATGCATGTCCATTTCAAACGGCAGGGTAATCACAGTCGATTTTTCTTACATAATTTCAGGCGCGCGCGGGGCAGAAGTGAAAGCTCGACCGTATAAAACTCGACCGTATCATTTTTTCCGTCTCTACCGTTCGATATCGTCGTCTGTACCTTGCCAGACAAACGAGCAAACGTGTGCACGTGTTAACGAACGACAGACTCCCGCTTGTGTCGTCCAGAATTTACATCCTCTCCGATCGCTCTTGTCGCGTACAGAAACATTTGATTTGAAAAAAAGGAAAATGTAAATATCTGAGAGAGAGTAGTGGTAATCGAAAACGAGGAAGTTGGCCCTCGACGATAGGCTGTTAAAAGGACAGGAAATACTCTATAAAAATCGAGCCGCCGCTGCCGCCGCGCAACGTTCTGACCGACCGGCCACGAATTTATGACGCGTCGACAGACAAGTTCGCGCGTCTGTTTTAACAAAAAGTATAATTGCGACAAGAGATAAAATATTATGACGCGCTGTTTCTTATCGGCTTTATGTACGTGCATTGAAAGGTAGCGTAAAGGTGGAACACGAGCTATTTTAAAGTCGATTCCGTGCGTTGCATTTCCTTTCTCAATCCATCCCCATGTAGATATTGTGTTATTGAGAAAATCCTTGACCACAGAACGTGGCTGTGTGCGTATTTTATGAAATGCAACTGCAGCGGCTCACCGCAGTTCAACATTGATCCATTCACTGTACTGTTTGTGAGAGAACTTTCGTGCATGCCATCTCGAGAAATTTCATCGACAAAAGTAATTGCAACTCTTGGGAAATGGCCGAATTTAATTCTTAAACAGAATACATGTCTCGTTACGTTTTTATCTGCAAGTAGAAGAAAATTCATTGTTGCAATTCTTCTAAACAAACACGAGGACCAGACGGAAATAAGGAAGGAGATTACGAATAGGGAGCCTAAACATCGGCGGCGGAGGAATTGATCAGATATGGAAGAATGGCAGGAAGAACGATACCGAAAAGAAGGAGGACTTCCACTGTCCTCTGTTCCTTTACGCGTGATTACATGTCCGCGAACAATGACCAGAGATAAGTTGAATGCTTTGTTCAAGCGACGACTGGCCGAAGGATGATCAAACGTGAAAAACAAAGAATTGAACAGGACAAAGAGTCGAGGAGATTATTTGTGACTCAAGTAGGATTGATATGCAAGAATAAGAATGGAGAGAAACGTGGAGCGCGTAACTCGAAAAGACTTTATGTCGTCAACATTAACAATATAGGCTTACTCTGATAAAAAAGGGCTTGGAAGAATATCTCTCAACGATGTGATAATAAGGGTTATCTTCTTCTTATCTAACTAGTCGCACAGATACAGATAATAAAATTTACTTACAGTTTGTATACTCGTTACCGTTAATTAAACGTTACCCTCCCAGTACTCATCGACACGTCACTATCGTTCAATCTGCATTATCCTTTCTAATTAAATTTGGTCAATTTGAGCATAACGGCGTTTTATTACAAAAGATGCTGACACTGAAATTCTGTGTCTTGGACAACCTTGATTGTAGTCGTGATTAAACTCGTCTCGACTGTCGTTGCTGTAGTAAAAGATGCAGTTGTACACTTTTACAACAGGACAGGACAGAACAATCAGCTGTTTGAAACCTGCCAGTTTTGTCATAAACTTCGTTTCGCCAGGATGGGAGAATTAGAAAACTCGCAAATATTGCGTCATCATTCTCGGGAGAACCATTCACTATCACGCGTAGTCTAATTACGTTTAATAAGCACGTTTGTATTTCGATTACTAAAATTGTATCAATCTCTCGCTCGACCGAGAATCGACGAAACAAGCGCGAAACCTGAGCGCACCAGGGCGATACTACTAAAGATATTGGCCGGTGCCCGGGATAGCGAATGAAGAGTCCTAACGAGACTCGAAACACAGATGGTGATGGCTCTTTTCAGTAGAGTTGGAATTAAATCGTCTAGGACCGTGTCTAGCAACCGATCAGCACCGATCAGTGCTGTTTGCTATTTTTTACTTTGGTGGCGGCGATGTATTCCAGGGCGTGAAAAATTGTCGCATGCATTTATAAGCCGCGGTGAACACAACAGTATCATCGGGTATGTAAGTCTGAATCAGCCTGCGATAGAAAAACATGTTCCACGACCGGTCCTACTACCGCCGTAATACACGCGTAAACAAGCCCACCAATACGACGACGGTTGCATTCATTGAACGATGCCCTCGGCTCCGGCCATACGGGCGAAATATTCCTTTTCTCTTGGAGCCTTCGACCTTCGAGACAGCCCACATGATTTTCCATAAATTATAACGAGACAAATAATTTGAAGGCAGACTGCTGCTGCTGCTGCTGTTGTTCAAATTCAAAGTAGACGTTAACATGGACGTTTTAAGTGACACACTTGTATCCAGTGGTACTGTCAGTTCACGCTTACCGTAACGTAACAACGTTACCGTAAGACATCCTGCATTTGAAACTGGCATGAAAATGCAATTACGACGAGTACAACACAATAGCTACAATAGGTACAACTTTTACAGGAGTCGTAATCATGAAATCAACTTTTTCCTTGGGCCGAGAATTCTTGCTACCCAAACACCGTGGGAAAACCATAAAGTTTGGGTGAAAGTCGACCTAATCCCGTCAGATTAATGGACAGTCCCATACGAATAGATACCAAGTTCGAATTCCGGAATTTGATCAAGGTACAAGAAAGGATATAACAATAGTGTATGCAAAGTTAATTCTGAGAAGCCCATTCATCTGTCGAATGAAGTCACGCGATGTTTCTTTGTAACAGTACTTGCTACATGTTCTGTTCAGAGCATCAAACTTGCGCTTTACGCGCGTTACACGTGCGTCTTATGTAAGAATTTCCTATACCGATAGCGGAATGCCCCGTTACTATTATCTTTCCCGTGAGAAGATGGAACACATTGTACGTCTCAACAGCTTCGCTGAAACATGGTGTTTCAAATAGACGAGTGATCTATATTTGGTTGGATCGATGATCGAACAATAGACAGCTTGAAACGTTCCTTGTAAACGAAAGAATTATTTTGTGGACCATGAGACGGTTCCAAATTTAAGAATGATTTAATACGAAACGCGTTCATCAAAAACCGATGCCAAGAAACTCCTCTGTTATTCTCCGAAACTCCGATTCGTACTTACGTTCGAGACATCGCAACTGATCATAATACAATTCATTCCGCGTCAATGTAGTATCAATGAATCCACATAGTCACGGTATCATTCGCACTGACTGAACCGTTATTTAAATACGCCCGACGTTATGCCGCAGAATGTTAAATTCACCGAGTATTTTTGCATATCACAATGGAACATTCTCAAACTATCGGTTTACCAAGAGGCAGTCTGCCGAAGCAGTGCTGCAGTTTTCAGACTCTTCCGTTTCGCGTTTCGAACTCGCTCGAACGCAGCTCGAAGAGAAAATAATATACTTAATCAAAACCTGTTGATCGATTGTTCCGAATCACGTTGAGACGTGGTTTCGACACGTAATATAAAATATTAACTTTCCAACACACATTATGCCCGAGTTTGTTGCCCACTTGACAAAGATTCGAGTTTCCATATGACAGCAAAGGTGTCTCGTCGTCGTACCTATACACATCGCAATGTCTTCAACTTCATCTGAACCGTAAATTCAGCTACCGTTTAATAGCACAGATTACTTTCACACACGTTAATCTGTGATTGCGATTAAAAAGATCCGAAAAATTCTGATCCGATAAACTAACGAGTATACGCTTTAAACGATTAACAGCAGAGAAAATATATTCACGAAAGCGTTGTACAGAATTATAACGACGCACAGCATCCGCGCCTAATTGTAGCTACGAGAGCAAGTTGTATGTAAAAGACTGAAATGATATTTAATCGTCGTCACCACTTACCGTGGTATTGCATGGTATTCCGTGCAATAATTCGAAGACGTGCATCCATCGACTTACGAAATATAACTGAGGAAAACAATGTATACTGGCACAGAACGGACCGCTCACTCACTGTCCGACTTTGAACCGAACCGAACCCGTACAGTACTGTACTATTACTGGAATTCTGTAGTGTTGGTACTGTGTTACATCGATCAGATCTACACACAAGTGCAGGTATCCTGTTTTAACTTCAAGGCAGAGTTTTCAGAGCAAACGGAGCAAACTTCAGAATGCAGCGACTGACACTCGAAGTAAACTGTGCAGTATACGTATGATCGAACATCAAACGATAAAACAGAAATTCTAAAACTCGTATCTCGATATCTCGATTGTTTATCTGGAAAAAGTTATACCAGCAGGTTTAATATCCTGACAAACATTGTATGTATGATAGGACGAAATAAACGTTAAACGTATTTTTCCCCGAATTTAATCCATATTTCCCGCGTATAAGCGTTCACGTTTTACAATAATGATGCGTACACTTTAATATCCATCGAATGTAATTAAAATGAAAGATCTTTAAATAAAATACCATGATTTTATGAACGACGATTGTCCCGTGGTCACGTATGCTGGACCCTTGTTAATGATGTCGATTGAAATTTATTAGCGAGAGAGGTTTGCATAAATGCCCTGTACGTCGTTTTCTCCTACTACGCCAGTTCTGGTTGAACATGTGAGTCGTAAACACTTCTTGTCGCTATCGCTAATTATCGTCTGAATTCTGAAAAAAAGTCCAAACGCGTGACACATTCTACACTTGCAAGAGGTTTGTAAATGTGTTTGTAATCCGTATAAAATGGTATCGTCGAATTAATTTATTGCTTTATTATCAGTTCCGTGCTCATCGCGTTTAAACGATCCGAAGAATGACTTCGAGATTTAGCGAGATCAAATTAGGACCCGCTGTTGAAGTTTTCGCACTTCAAAAAGCCTATATAGAAGATGCGTATGAAAAAAAGGTGAATCTGTCTATAGGAGGTATGTAAAACATTTTTCGATCGAATACCCCTCATACTTTCCCCCCGATAAATGTAACCCCGATCACTTTTCACAATCTAAAAACTGATCATCGTACATATAAAATCATGGCCCGTTTGATCGAAATTATCCGATCGTATCGCCCTATTACTTATATCAGCCTTGTACCACTAATGAATCTGCTCTTAACAAGTGACGACCTCCAGGAATACCTCGCGATTACGTAACGCGTAGCGTAAATACGATGCAAACGATTGACGTCATAATAGTAAACACAGTGATCCTCGAATCGTTCTAAACATTTTTAACCTGACGAATAATCCTTGTAGCTTATCGCACAAACGACGGGAAGCCATGGGTATTGCCGGTCGTACGAAAAGTAGAAAAGTCATTAGCTGCGGACGAACTGCAGAATCACGAGTATCTCCCTGTACTGGGATTAGATGCTTTCAGTCAAGCAGCCACGAAAATGCTATTAGGCAGCGACTGTCCTATGATCGCGCAAGGTTGTGCTTTCGGCATACAAACGATATCTGGTACTGGAGCACTGCGCGTTGCCGCCGAGTTTTGCAGTCGCATTTTGCACTACGACACCTTCTACTACAGCAAACCCACGTGGGGTAAGTACGCGCGGAGTAACTGTGGAACTAGTTAGTTTTTTACATGTACGTTCCGTACGACATGTGTCGACAGAGAATCATAAACTCGTGTTCATAAACGGAGGATTTAAAAAAGCTTGTGAATACACGTATTGGAATGCACAAACGCGTAGCGTTGACATGGAAGGAATGCTCAAGGATCTCAGGGACGCTCCAGAGAATTCTGTTATTATTCTTCATGCGTGTGCTCATAATCCCACTGGTTGCGACCCGACGCCTGAACAGTGGGCGCAGATAGCAGACGTGATTGAAGAGAAACGGCTTTTCACCATTTTCGATAGCGCTTATCAGGTGTGAAGATCACGCGCATTGATTGTAAAAAGCGGAGTAGATTGTAGATTATGTTTTTTTTTTTTTTTTTTTATAGGGATTTGCGACCGGGGATTTGGACAGGGACGCTTACGCGGTAAGAATGTTCGCTTCGCGAAAAATAGAGTTCCTGTGCGCACAGAGTTTTGCCAAGAACTTTGGATTGTACAACGAAAGAGTCGGGAATCTGGTAGTCGTTATGCACGACACGAAACAGTTGGCCCAAGTTAAATCTCAATTGACTCTGATCGTTCGAGGAATGTATAGCAACCCCCCGAACCACGGAGCGAGAATAGTCGCAACCGTGTTGAACAATCCGGATCTGTACAAAGAATGGTAGGACATGTCGATTTACCGCGAATATTAATAATGCAGATGATTACGGATAACGTGATTACAGGAAGGGTCACATTGTCACAATGTCGAATCGAATAAAGGAGATGCGAAAGTGTTTGTACGAAAGATTAGTTCAGAAAGGAACACCAGGCTGTTGGGAACACATTACCAACCAAATAGGAATGTTCTCTTACACGGGTCTCACCGGTTAGTAGTATAGCGAAAATCATCATCGTCATGTTGCACTTACGAATGATGTCTTGTATTGAATATAATAAAATTATTTCAGAGAAGCAAGTCGAATGCTTGATGAATAATTATCACATCTACATGTTGAGAAGCGGTAGAATAAACATGTGTGGTCTCAACGAATACAACTTAGATTACGTGGCGAGCGCCATTTACGAAACCGTGCTACTGTACCCGCAAAATAAGCAGGATTGTATATGTTGAAGGGGGATCGCAAGTATCAATGATCATTGTTGAAGTGTAGCAAAATATTTTATACAGATCAAAGTTGAATCCAGGGTCGGTAAACAGAATTTTCACATAGAACTATCTTTCTTTCTCTTAATCATTCTTTAATCTGTAGATAAATCGTTGTTTAACCCTTCCACTGTGGCGCGACTTTGGAATAATCCATCAACATGGACAGCGCGTTATACGCACGTCGGTCGCTGCGATGGCGTATATTTACGTCTCTCGTATATATCGCGATAAGCTTCCAAGAACGTAATTTACGCCTTTCGTATATATCGATGGACTTTTCAGGACGTATATTTCGTAGTGAAAGGGTTAACTATGTCCTCTTTTTAGAAAATTACAAAGAAACTGTGCAAAACGATGCAAACTCAATTTCGTAAAGAGATTAATCCGTTGCATTGTCTCGTCTGTAAAAAGTACAAAGTATCAACAACCGGTATTATCAATTGCCAAACTTTAATACGTGCAGATCGCTTGTTATTAAAATAATTTCCATCGAGCGTGACGAGCCATACAGCAATATTAAGTACTCGGACTCTCTAATGTTTCTGTCGATCTCGGCGTAATAATATTACGAACCTGGTACACTATTTTCATTTGTAAATAATTCGACTGCTACATACATACATATCGTGCTGTTAACGAATGCGACCAAATTAAAGATACTTGAGTAGCTGGCAATCTTTTCTATAGATCTAGAAATATCTTTTCAACAGGCACAACTTTTCCAACAACGAAAATTCGTACAATTATTTTTGTAAAATATATCTTGATCGGATCCTACAAAAATAAAATTAGAATCTGTACGAACGTAATTAATTAGCAGAGTAATCAACGACTGAGAGTAATTACGAGATAACGTACGTAAGATTTCAATTGTTTTGATAATGAGCGATTTAAATACGGGAATTATTCACTGAAATTGTTGAATGCTCACCGTACCGTATTCCACCGTAAACACAATCGTCTGTTGTGGTTTCACGTGGTTTATACGTTGTGGAGAGAATATATCACGTGGTGGAGAGAATATATATTTACATGTTTCAAATCTGAATCAGTTCTACATATTCTCTGATCGAAGTCTACACCGAGTTTTATACTATAATATTTCATGAACCAAAAGAAATGTTTTCTCTTTATTAGAAAGAGCCTTTCTGTTCCCTAGCTGCTTCCCAAATACGAGTTTACAGAGAACATGGTAGAGAGCCAAAGAAGAAAGACAACAAACGTTGTTGAGTAAAAGCCGTAGCAATGTTCCACTTTTTACGTAATGCACAATTTTTCTTTATTGTTTCAATCTTGATACGTGTAATTTTGTGTATTATTAATACTTGAGCGTTTATACATCATGGGTGAATTATGTACATTTGTAATGTTTACAATATACACAGGATGTTTCAGGAAAGCCTGTTGGAGCCGAAGAGAGAGATAAGCGCGTTTCTGAACAGTAATTTTCTCCGTTAAAACGCACAGTGTCCGAGCCAACCTATCTGTGGATTGGTCAGCATTTTTCGTTAATATTTCAAAAACCATGGCTCGCTTTACACTTTAAGAAAAATGGAAAATGTTTACGAAAGGAAATTGTTGTTTAGAATCACCCCTTTTCGGTTCAAACACTTTTCCGGGGACACCCTCTATATATGTATATACGTAAAAATATAAATATATTTTTTTAGTAGCCTCTTAGTGAGATTTAAGCTTAGAAGGCCCCTCGTTCAAAAACCTGGACCAAATTACAGCCAATTAAAAGCCAGTTTGCAAATATTATCCCGAATTATATAGAGAGAACCTTGTACATAATGTGTACCGCGAAAGTGCAGCTCGTGCAGCGATCAGAAATTAATTTTCTACATATTTGTACAAAATAAACGTGACGTATGACAGTGTGTGCCACGGTTTATACTTACAATCTGTAGCTTTTGTAAAAAGGGAAAAAATGGTGCAGTTGGATGCACATTATTCTAGCTTTAATGTGCATTTACACAAGACTTGTAATTTTAAGCAGAGCAATAGACGATTGCAAGTTTTATTTCAAACGAATTCTATAGCGATGAAATACTTGCGACACGTTTACTTACACGTTGAAAAGTGTACGCGACAAGAAAGTAGCAAAGAAATTATACAGTGTGTTTACGAAATAAATATTCATTGTGCTACACTACATGTAATTGTGATCGATTTACCTAAAATCAGGTTTCAAATCAATCTGTCCATCTGGACGTTTTTTTTTTAACATTGACAGTCCCGTCAGTTCCTGTTGCTGCTGCTGCTGCTGCTGCTGCTGCTGCCGCCGAGTAATACTTGACGTTTTCAGGATTTTGTCGCATGTAAACAAGATATCCTATACAACCGAGCATAACAATGCCGCCGGCTATCATTACCGCTTTATTCTGAAAAACGCACCCGTTTCAACTGTGTTGTACCAGTAACAAAAGATACGTTTATTCCGGACACGTGGAGATTATTTCAAGTTTTACGCTGTTGCATTCTGGAATTGTCACTATTGATATAAATTGTCTTACCGGTCTTGCGTACAATTCGTAATTAACTGCACGAAACAGCATTGTACTTTTTAACGAACGTAAACCATCGCCCGGTTTTGTTTCAGGTTTTTCTTTATCGTTCATTGTCACAGAAACTGTACTCTAATAAAACCTGCGGGTAATAATTATTCGTAGCGCAGAATACTTGTACTAAAAACTAATAATTTATTGTTGTACATGTACGAGCCTAATTTTTAATAATAAGATGATTATGCAAAATACGCTATTAATAATCTGTTCTCCACCTACAATCGATAGAAATTGAACTATAAATAAAACAGTTGAAATATTTGAAATATTAGAAACAATAATTGGCTGATTTACCTGGATTTACCTGTATTTACCTTCGTAGCTGTCAAAGCTTCGTACTGCTTCGTACTGTGAACGACGATGAATTACCAGCCCTAACCTTAATTAACCTTCTGTGAGAAGGAAACAGAGTGCACGTCTCGCACGTGATTCGTAGTGAAAATTGTATTTAATTCACAGTAGCCATGGTCCGAAAATTAAAGTATCACGAACAGAAACTGTTGAAAAAAGTCGATTTCATCTCCTGGGAGGTGGACAACAATTTGCACGAAGTGAAGATTCTGAAACGTTATCGGATACAAAGGAGGGACGATTATACAAAGTGAGGCTTAGTTGTCTCTTGTCGGTTTCGTTCGAAAATGAATCGTTCATAAATTGCAATTGAGGATTTCAGATACAATAAATTGTCACGAGAAATTCGTGAATTGGGGATGAAGATTAAGCAAGTCGATGCGGATCATCCGTTTCGAATAGAGCAAAGTGCTTTACTGTTGGAGAAATTGTACATGATGGGACTGATTGCGACGAAATGGGATTTGTCGTTGACGCAAAAGGTGAGCGCGAGCTCCTTTTGTAGGAGACGATTGCCCGTAGTCATGGTACGAAACAAGATGAGCCAGAACTTGAAAATGGCCACGCAACTGATTGAACAAGGCCACGTCCGAGTCGGTGCAGAGGTCGTGAAAGACCCGGCATTCTTGGTGACCAGGTAGGTAGACGTCGTATTCGAAATCGAAGAAGAAAAGCTTATTATTAATAAAGAATGTTTTCTAGAAACCTGGAAGACTTTGTCACTTGGGTAGACGCCTCTGCTATTAGGAAACACGTATTGGAATACAACGATGCTGTGAGTGACATACTGCTGACGATACTCGCTACGTATTTATCTTTCAATTCTTTTTTTCATTACAGAGAGACGATTTCGACATGACATGAGTGCGTTTTAACGACAATTGTGTGTATTCTCAACGAGTCGATAAAGTCTTTTTCACTCTCGTCTTGTTCCCCCCTTACGAACACACCTCGAGGTTGCACACAATGTTCACATACAGTCGCTACAAAAATAATGCAATAAAAGACAATTTGACGGCGAGATTCGTAGATTATACTCACCAAAAGTCCAACACAGTGATGCTCTAATTTTGACTATCCTTTTGCGCCGATCTAGAATTCTATTTTTAATCTTTATCGTGGACAAACTATTTTTTGATGAATTAGTAACGTCGATTGTAGAAGGGTACATTCTGTACATTCTTTTTAAAACTCTGACGAATCAAAATTTTATCGTCGCATACTACAAGTGTTGCGTTCGAATGCTCGTTGGAGATAATCTTCGGGCGATCGAACAAATAATCAACCTTTTTCTACTTTCGATCTTTACAATCACAAAATAAGAGTGTCGATATCTTTGACAATGCTTTTATGTTTAACGACACGAGTCGTTGGATTTGCATTTGTTTCAACGACTGGTTCGTCGACGTCTATTGTTTGTACGATGATTCCCTCAGTGCCTTCCGCGATTTAATCCGGGATCCGACGCTGGACAAGGATTGCAAAATAGATTTGCGAGTATTGCTCTTTAGCATTTTCGTGTTTCACTATCGTGTCGGAAGAATTCTCCATTTTGAATTTGAAGTTTTACTCAAGTGTGCGATAGGAAGAGGAGTTTTCTTTCGGTAAAGATTTATTAAAAATCATACAACGACATCATCGAGTTTCCAAATGTGTCCGTTTGAATCTATTTCGTTTTGTCAAGATCATCGATTAGCAATAAACAACGTACGCATTTCATATAAAACGATATATGTATAAAAGCTCGATTAAAACACTATTGTACCATCTGACATGGCCTTCTCTATTACTTTGACACTTTTTGCCTGAATCATTATCGTCGATCGCGTGAACGATACCTCTACCGTCGTAGTACAATCAGACAGAATCCAAGATCACGCGTTTATGGAGAACCACTCGTTCGTATACCTACACGAATAATTAGTATTCAATATGATACACACGTTACGCGTTAATAGTTTTACGTTAAAATCGGCAGTCATCGCTGGTCTCTATGACGCATGTCCGCGTTACACGTCCATGTTACATCGCGAAAAGATTCGTTTGAAAGGTATACCGTTTATATCCGACAGTTTGCTCGCGTCTAGCCAAAAGCAACACCTCGACTCGCGTTAAATTCACCGTTTTGCGCGTCACTAGAATGCTTGACGATTCAACAAGAAGAAATGAAGGACAATACACGGATCATTGTTGTCTGTGTCTTTTAGCGATGTAACTGGAATAGAACGGGTGTTACGTCGACTCAGGTCCCCAAGTATACCTCCCTCGCCTTTGACTATTTACAAAATTTCTCATTACTGAAATTCTTTCAATAGCAAACTGCAAACATTATAATTTCGATCCACGCGAAACACATTCCGACAAGTTTCTATTGCTGCATACTGCTGCCATTGTTTAAACACTTGCAAATGAAATGTAATTAGTATGAGTTCTTTCCAACAAACTGATTGTGAATTGAACGCTTCTCAAGATTGCGTTTATTAATTTCCCTTTTCGCCGCCATGAATGGCACGATGAACTTTTTGTCGCAAACCTCCTGTTGTTACACCTTCCAAGTAATTTTATCGCCACCTCGCTGCTTTTTTTTTTGGTTTTTTTTTTTTTCATCACTTGTGCTTTCGCAATCTTACTAATGTATGTACACTCTTGAGTGTACCCTACTCTATCAATTACTTTTAACGATACATTGATTCTACACCGTTCCCTCGATTCGAATTTATCAATTCTTGTTCGATAATAAAAAAAAGGAGAACGTACGCACGTTACTTTAGTCGTAGATAATGACCAACGACTAAACGGGTACAATACACGACGTATGATGAATTATCAAGATCTAAAGAATGGCTGGTGATAATGTACAGCAATAATCTGACGTCTCCTGCCAGTCGACGAAATTGCTATTTACAAAATACTTGTCAATCCAAGAAATCCTTCGACCGTCGAACCTTTATATATATACACGTCAGAATAACTACACACGTTCTGCACGACTGTTTTCTGCAAAATAAACGCTCTATACTCGCCTCACCGAGAGTCTAGGACTGGGCACAATTCAGTTTTCGTTCGTTCTGCGCACCTCAACGCTTTACCATGTATACTGAACCGTGTGGAGGGAGTTCGACCTCCACCACTTCTCAAGCTGCGCGAAACGGTCCTGGACTCTCGGTGAGGCGAGTATACTTTGATTAGAGAAATAAAGATTTTTTGCAATTATTTACACAGGCAGTTGCTCGCGTCGAGTATCGTTGGTGATCTCCAAGTGAAACATTCCATATGAATTCTCTATCAACAATTGTCCCCGTTTGATTCGACATCGGAGCGATAATCATTCGGGGGAACACTTAAATCCTACACATTTCTGAAATGAGCAACCGCCCCGTTCTAATGGAACAAGTAAATTAAAGAGTGATCAACAAACGTACTACTACTCTCAATTACAATTCGAGTTGTACATTTTCTTCTCATTAACCCTTCGACGAGTATTACGATTACGCTGCAAGTTTTAATGACAAGTTGTTTATTGAATTTCATCGAAAACATCGAAAGGTCAATCTGTCCCCGTCTTTATGCACGCTTAAACACTTTAGGCAAACAGTTCCACGTATAAAGACGCACGTGATTTTAGATTCGTTACTGATTTCCGTATGAAAATTCTGCTTCAATTCTCCCAGTGAGACGACCATGTCAGAGTTTGTACGAGCAACAGATCTCGTGTAGACAATGTGTATGAATTGCGCTGCTGCTCATGCCATTCGGTGGTAATGTGACGCTATGAATTACATCTCTTGTCACCGCGATGATTAATGCGCGCAAGTACTTAATTTGAACACGATACAAAGGTTGCTTCGCGAAAATTGCTGTGCATATTTCACTCGAGAATTATCGCGTTCTTTGCGATAATCTTATCAAACGTCACGTTTTCCACGAGTTTATGTAATCACTTTTTACGTAATAATTACAACTCATAATGTCGTTGAACGTACGATGCATTGGAACATGATTTTCCTCGTTACGGTACAAAATAATTCCATTTCTCGTTTTTTCCATTCGTTCAGATTATTCATGTGCAAACTAGATGATTACCGCAACACAAGAAACGATGAATTACGTAATCACGGTAGGTGCGTCGCGACCGGTGAATTCGCGTAATTTGCTTACTTCTAACGCGATGGTTACCAACGGCTTGAGAATCTCCTGAGCATCCTTGTTCAAAACTGCCTCGTCGTCCTCGTAGCTGTCGACGTACAGACGAATAGTAGCCCCGGAACTTCCCGTACCGGATAGCCGGTAAATGATACGTGAACCGTCTTCGAATAGAATCCTCAATCCCTGCCACATGTAAAATTACGTCGCAAAAAATTCGTCTCGTCACGACTCACAATTATATCCAGATCGATACCTGTTTACTCGCTTTACTTCCATCGACGGGATCCACGTAAGAATAATTGTCACCCAATTTCACGACGTACGTTTTCCCCTCGGACGTTAATCTCGAGCCGAGAAACTCGGGTTTCTGTATTTCCGACTCGAGCTGCTGCATCATTTTGTTTGCTGCTTCCGCGTCGCAGTTTTCATAATCGTATCTGACACGTAATGTAGTACGAGATCAGAGAGAGGCACGGCGACGATAATAACCTCGATAAAAATTTGTACCTCGTAAAAAAGTTTCGTCCATAGGTATGCCAGTGATTGAGCAGTATTTCCTCTACAGATTTGCCAAGGCTCGCAATCACGCTGAGCCATGCGAGGCATGCCCATATCCCGTCCTTTTCACGAATGTGATCGGAACCAGTACCGAAACTCTCCTCACCGCAAAGCGACAGTTGGCCAGCGTCCATCAAGTTACCTAACGATACAGAACGATAAATTACATGCGTTCAAAGTGCGTGCAAGTACGACTAGAGAATACCGAATACCGAAATATTTCCAGCCTGTAGGCACCTCGTAAAGTTTGACACCGTTCTTAGCTGCGACTCTGTCTACGGCAGCACCCGTCGGCATAGATCTGGCATACCCTTTAACACCAGTTTTTCTAAAGTACGGTATCGAGCTTAAATTGGCAGCCAGTACGGCCAACGAGTCTGAAGGTGTAACGAAGAATGCCTTCTTTCCTAATATCTGCCAGAAATCAGCAATCGCGTGTGTCGCGTTAGATACTTTTTATACCGCGATGAAAAAAAGAATACCATATTACCGTCTTACCATATTTCTGTCTCCATCACCGTCGAAAGCAGCACCGAAATCGTGAGGGCCATTTTTGACAGCGTTCACTAAATCTTTGGCATACGTGAGATTTGGATCAGGGTGCAGTCCACCGAAATCTTCCAACGGAGTCGCGTTGACGACACTCGAATCATCGACACCCAATTCGTCGCTAAATATTCTCCTTATATACGGCCCGGTAACTGGAAATCGTCGTCGTTATACGTCGTTAAAGTAAATCGAGCGCGTTGTAAAGAAACTGATTAGGTGTACCTCCGTTCATTCCATTGATCAGAACTTTGAAAGGAGGACGGTTATTACTTCCTTGCAATAACGTTTTAATACTAGAAAAGTCAAAGATGCTCTTCATGTGTTCCAAGTAATCGTTGACAGAGTCAATTACTTGTACCGTAAACGGATTTCCATCCACCTGAATCGTGGTATTCTGCAACTCGTCTATATCCACGTTCACGTCCGGAGCGATCTTGTAATTCTTGAGCAGTTTAGTGATCTCGTAAATTTTATTCGTCACGTGATCCGGGGCCGGACCGCCGTTCTCACAGTTGAACTTGATTCCAAAATCGGCATCGGGCCCACCGGGATTGTGGGACGCCGTTAAAACAATGCCTCCCCGTGTCTTGTACTTTCTGATTATCGTAGACACCGCTGGCGTCGAGAGTATCCCGTGTTGGCCGATCATCAGCTTCCTCACCTGTTTGCAACAACAACAACAACAACAGAAACCCGTCTAGTCGCTGTCGACAAAAAATTATCAGACGTAAATAAAAATGTACCCCGTTGGCTGCAGCGATTCTAATTATCTTCTCGACTGCCTCTTTACCGTAATATCTTCCATCGCCTCCGACGACGAGAGTGCAGCCGGGTAATTGATCTCCGAGAGCTTGCAAAGTCGCTTGGACAAAGTTCTCGGTGTAATGTTCCTGCATGAAAACCTTGACGGCCTTTCGGAGCCCGGACGTACCCGGCTTTTGATCATCGTACACCCGAGTTTCAACGATTTTGCTCGTCACCGTGCTCGACATGTTTTAAATCACCGTTGTAACTAACGCGATTACAACTGAAACAGAATATGATGTATGTCGACCGATGTACAACAGCGAAAATTCGCGTTTGGAATAGCTCGCGTAACACGTTCTCGGCGCCTGGTAGCAGACTGTGAACTTTGCCTACCACCGCCAATGACACGCAAGGGCACACCATCTTGATACATCTGCCGCGCGCTTTCCGAGCAATCATGTATACATGTATGTATGTATTGTCGCGATTGAGAAGATGAATCTCTCTCGACATGACATACAAATATGCATAATAGCGCCGCGTGATAACGAAATGCAAACAATCGATAGTACCATGTGTCATTCAGTTTACGTCGACTGCGTTTTACTGATGTGGCTTCCGCCCAATACGAATCGTGCAAGTGGTCAAACGAATAAATACGATAAATAAAGTTTGTCGCCGGAAAGCCTAAACAAATACATTTAACGAACAAACTCTAGAACGTTTCCGTCTTCGAGAACAGAATTTGACATTTACCGTCGTAGAATGCATCGGGAAACTCGAGCGAAAAGATCCTCTCGTATCGGAACTGTATTCGATATTCCGTTGGTCGGGTGAACCACCCCGTTACGCCATGAAATTTACCATAATCAGTCGTTCTCGACGAGTTTCGTGACGACAATGCTCGAAAAATGTGATAATGTTTGAGTAAAACTTGCACGCATGCGATCCTCGCTTATTTACGACGAGCAAAGAAAAATCAAGTGGAGGGAGAGTTTGTGACGTAAAGGATGTACACGCGCGCGCGCGCGCGATATAAGTACTCACGTTTACAAAACAGCCGCTTAGTAGTTTGAAAACAATCGTCTACCTGTTAAAGTTTCGATCGCTAATTGTGTTGCTCAGAATTAAAACACGTTGCACGTTTCGTTACTGAATTGTTACATTGCACGTCGAAACTATAAATTCATTCGAGTCGAAAGAGAGATAGTCTCGTGTATTCGAATTTCTGTCGTGCAAATGATGTAGAATTCATCTGGCCGTTTGTACAAATTTCAAGTTTTTATAAAATATTCCTCGTCTCTGGTGAGTAATCTCTTTTGTCACTTGAAAGACGGTCCTTGACGCATGTTCTTTTTGTTCAACAGTTTATAAGGTTTGCACGTGAATGAAACCCAACATGAATACGTCTAAAAATGATTGGGAACCCATGCGAGACGACAGTGAATCGGAGAGTGCACCTTTGCTCTCTTCAGGATCTCACACCAGTGTGGAACCTGCTATATTCGAGGACTCGGAGATCAGTGACTTGGACTCTACTCCTACGAACAATTATTTCAAGTACTAGTTTTTCTTGTTATCCATTTTTTGGTAGAGATTCCCGTTTAGATCCCTTCTGTTTGGTGTATCGCTTCTCGCAAATTTGATACGACCCTCTCTGATCGCAATTTTATTCGAGTCAATAATGAATGCTCATCAAAGGCGTTTCTTACAGGTACGGTAGTCTAGAAAGCAGTTTGCATTCTAACGTTACTGTAATACCAAAGAGACCACCCCTTGTCGCAGATACTTTAGTTTCACCTTTAGTACTAAACACATCTTCCACATTAAATGTAACACAAGACAGATGTTGTTATGAAATCCATAATTCTGATCTGGTGAGGAAACCACAAACAACAGAAAAATTGCACGTGTCTAGTCTTTACATTGACAAGATTGAATTACTCGCGCGAATCTAACGTAAAGAACATTAACAGACGAGATAGTAACCGTACTGTAGAACTGTGCATTACAGTTTAACAAATTTTTTTCACGTCGTTCTGCTCTTTAGGTATTCAATAGTGAAAGATACGCTCCAAACAGGAGGCCTTTTTCGAATGATTTTACAAACAAGAATGAGCCTTATTCGTTGCAACTGCAGGAAGAGACTGTGAGTAAAGACACGGGGCAAAACTCTCTAGTCACTGTGTAAGTAACAACAACAGTCATCGATAGCAACGTTGCCTCAGTCACAGATTTTCAGAGATACGTGCGTGTAATTCGAATAAAAAAGATTGATTCAACGGCAATAATACAATGTACGAGTAATAATCATCGTATCGTATTATCATCGAGAACGAGTTCTGGGTCAATTCTCTTGGTACAGAAATCTAATCGTGTACATAAATTTTTTGTTATCTCCTGCCGGTTGTCATATTTTCAGTAGGTCGATCGGTCGATGATGAGAGAAAAATGAAATCTTGCATCAGCTCTGTATGCATTTTGAACGTATCTGACTGGCTGCCAATCTGGCTCAAGCTATACAATCATTTCCCTCATCTATCACCTCTCGCAGTATAAAAAGCGCACTTTTGCTCTTTCGACTCGCGGCAGAAATACAGACCAAACATTTGCCTAATTAAACTAATAATACAAACGAAAATCTTTCGGTCTACCGATTGTATTACACACATAAAATACACTCACGTGTTTTAGAAATTCTTTTGTTCGTCCAACACATTGTCTGAAAATCACTGCCCGATCACTCGTTTCCACGTCTTAAAAATACACACACACCCGCACGAACAAAGAAATGCGAAACAAGGTAATGTTGGATCGATTGTCTTTTTTACTCATTCTCGAGCGAAAGAGAATCGAAAGCAGGGGAGGTGTATGATGTTTAGGACGTGAAAACGAGCGAGTAAAACAAGAGCCCCGGTCGGTCACGTTTCGACCACCATCCGGGGCATCCGAGTGGTAGTGACGACTGCACATCGTGTTGGAAGGGGTTAGTGCTCCGTCGGTTGCCTGGGTAACAGACGACCGTCCGAGAGGTCAATGCCCGTGTAGTCGGGGTCGGTACCCAACAAGAGAATATTTCCATTTAACAATGAGAGTAGAAATAGAAATATTGTAGCCAATTCGAATAACGAACGGAGAAAACATGTTGAAATAACTAGCTATAGATATTTTCGTATCATTACAGATTTTCGATATGGAACACGATCTTGGGTTCCTCTTTATTAACGATACCGTGGGGTATCCAAATGGCTGGCTTTTTCCCTGCTATTATTTTAACACTCGTAATGAGTGGCTTGTGTTTGTACACTGCTTATTGCCTTTTACTAGTGCATAGATATCACGGTACAATATTCTCTTTTATACACATGCCCATAGCTTCGTTTCTCTGTAACGCGATTTAACATTGTAGGTGGGCAGAAAGGTGTGGAAGTAGTCGACTTGTGTCGCACGTATCTTAATAAATGGGCAGAGTACGTTGCCAAGGCGTTTAGTATTACTGTATTACTCGGCGCGGTTATTGCCTATTGGGTACTAATGTCCAACTTTTTGTACAATTCTGTAAATTTCATTTATGGTAAATATATATGCGTATCTCGCGTTTCAAGAATCCGTCCTGTATTACAGAAATATGGTTTGTTTTCATAGACAATGTAGCGACTCGACAATACTCTATAAACGTAAATAATAGTTTAAACACATCAGAAAGTAAGTCGTATTTGTTGAGCGCGTATACTATGCTTGCTCGAAATCTAATAATTATATTCGTTTTATAGTATTGTGTCCAAAGGTAGTAATTTACAACGGTACAAATAGTACAGTGATAATTCACGATTACACGTCGAGTACATTGGGACCAGCCTGGGATTTGTACAAAACAGTTCCCCTCTTCCTTGGCCTATTAATATTTCCATTGTTGAACTTTAGTAGCCCTACATTTTTCACAAAATTCAATTCTCTCGGTAAGTGGATTAAATGTTTATTTTTCGCCGTTCTGGGGAACGACCGCAACGCGTGATTTCGTTTCAGTCAAATTCCACAAACTGTCTTGCAGGAACAATGTCGGTCGTGTATCTAATCGTCTTTGTCCTGATCAAGTCCGCAAGTTGGGGGATTAACATGAGCGAATCCGATTGGGAAGTCGGCTGGATATTGAGATCCTCGTTTCCAGCACTGTCCGGGATGTTGGCCATGTCGTTTTTCATTCACAATATTATAGTCACCATAATGCAGAATAATCGTGATCAAAGTAAAAATGTAAGCGTCGTCTCCCGACACACTGTGCTGTTTGACAAGTTCATTAATTAATTTCAGGGACGAGACCTTTCGATAGCGTATCTGCTCGTTACGTTCACTTACATCATAGTGGGTGTAGTATTTTACGTGTGCTTTCCGTTGAGTAAAGCTTGCATCGAAGACGTGAGTATGTGTATGCGGTTAAACATATCGAACGCGGTCTACAAATAGTATTAATCTTTTACAGAACATGCTGAACAACTTTCAAAAATGGAGCGGCTTGACGGTCGGCGCTCGGATCGTGCTTCTTTTTCAATTATTAACGGTTTACCCGTTGCTCGCGTACATGCTACGTGTTCAATTGCTCGCATCGATAGATAAAAGATCCAGTATGGGTTGCGTCGTCGTAGTAAACCTTGTATTAATATCTGTATGCATTCTGTTTGCAGTATTTGTACCGTATATCGGTACGATAATACGATACACGGGTGCGTTGAGTGGATTTATTTATGTCTTTACGTTACCGAGTTTATTGTATTTAACAATCTTGAAAAAACAGGATTCATTGTCGATATTTTCGATAGTCGTGCACACAACTATTCCTATAATTGGATTCTTGAATTTAGTAGCGCAGTTTTTCATTACAGAGAAGTAGTAAACTCGATTCTGAAATTTCATTCCTGGCACGCCACAATGCAATAGACACGTGTTAGTAAACATCTATGGATGAACATGCCTACACGAATGTAAAGGTAATCTTGTAGTATACAGAATGCATAGAGAGATACCGACGAGATACGGATTTTTTTTATAAAATCTTTTAAAAGAACAGAAAGATTAGTCATTTGTGTCAATTCTAAACAAGATCTGATGTATACTCTGATTTATTTATAACGATAAACAATATTTACAATGTATAAACATAAATATACAGATCTCATACCTAGGTACACCGGTTTTAATCGGTTCTTGAAATCTTGTAGACCCAAACAGCGTCGATACCTTCTCCGACTGTTTCAATTGAATTCATCGTAGGAAGTGGAAATCTACAAGCGACTATGACAGAATTGTCTCGCAATTCCTTTTTAAACTTCATTTCTACATCGCACATCTATAATTATTTCATCATATTAATCACATTATGCATTACGAATGAAAACAATCATTACAGAACTTACCATTTGATCAACGCCGAACAAGACCACGTTGTCATACCTTGTCAAGTTATGTTTCCATAAATTTTGATTAATAAATCTTGTCTGCGATCCTATAATCAAAGCTTTTAGTCTGGAATACCATACCAGCCAAGGATTCAGTTCAATGCCGTAAGCTTTGAAGCCAGCCTTGGCTGTTGCAAACACCTGTTTGAGAACATTCCACCTTCTTTATGAATACCTCGATGAATCGTTCACAGATCGTGCTTACGAGAATATTGTACTTACTATACGTCCGTCTCCACTTCCAAGATCTATTAAAGATCCAGAACGGCCTTCCAAGGCCTTTAAAACGTTGTGGACCTGTTGAGTTGTTGCTGGAACGTAGGGCAAACAAATTTTACGGAATGCAGGACTCACGAATGGAACGCATATCACACTGATGGCTGTTGCGATTCCACCTAAGAATAATATATCGTGATACATTGCGTTCGTACAATTTGATTATTCATCACTGAATTACCTGTTATTCCCATCAGGTATAGCCCAAGTTTAGAAGGTGTCGATATTCTTTGGGACGAATTAACGTTATTTACGATGTAACTTAATTCGTTGGTCTCTGCTGATTAAATTGACACAAAATTAGAATTCGTAAACAGAATATAGACGTTTCAAATTAATGTATGAATCTCAGATTTCTATTTGATAATTTATTATTCATGAATCTTTCTTACACATTCTTTATAATTCGCGTGGGTCAGCGATATAAAAATTTCTTGTTTACGTCTCTCATCCGAGCCACGAGGATTGCTGAAGAAGGATTATTGCAGAACGATTTCAAAACAAGCTAGTAACATTTACGTGCACCCTAGAATGTTGGCCGTACTGTTTTCTTATGGTTTTCTTTCTTGGCAATTTCTACATTTCCTGGATGGGTGTGTGTGGGTGAAACACAGTCACAACACAATCGTATGTATGTGATCCATCACGTCTAGAATTACTACATTACTTGCTTGACGCGTCGAACAAGTGCCAGTTAACGTTTATTTCTCTCATCGGTTCTATTCCCTCGGTTCTTCGACGCGTTGTTAATGATTTCTCGCGCAACTCTTTCGTTACGTTCGCAGCAAAGCTTCCTTCCAGTGATTACGTTCCAGTAGCCACTATATTTTCGCACATTCGCGAGTAAGATTCTATCGAGATGCCGGTGTTCCACACAAAAACCATAGAAAGCATCCTCGAGCCTGTTGCACAGCAGGTAATTACATTTGTTGGCTCATTTTTCAATAATTAAATCTATAGGGAAAGTAGCTCGAGAATCTCTACTATAACTCGGCAGGTCCTTCTTAAGGAATGCCAGAGAGAGAGAGAGAGAGAGCGACAGACAGACGTATAAAGACATATTTTACGTTCAATCAACATAATTTTACAACAATTATTCTTGTAAATTTGTATAGAGACCATTTTATACAAGTTCCTTTCACGGACAGAATGCGTATGTTTGTATACATTTGTCAGCAATCTGTCAGACGAGCATCATTTATTTAAAGTTTTTATTACATGTTCATGAATAACGAGAAGGCAATTTGTTATTTGACCTCGTCATTGTTAATTATTATAAATTATATACTTGTCATCACTGAGTTCTTGCCAAGTGAGTTATGTTTCTTTATATAGAACTATGACATCACTGTACAAATATAGGGCAGGGATACTAAATTCATCTTTAGGTCTGAAAGCCTGGATATATGAAACTCAATCCCTATTTCAGAGATGTGAGAACCATGTTCTTAAGATTCAGATTGGTATTACCAAAAAAGGAAATGCTAGAACGATCCTCCCACGCATTTCACGTGCAAAATTACTAATGTCCTTTGAAGATAATGTTTGTTCAGATGTTGATGAAAAGAAGAAAAGGCGTGTTTGTTCACATGTTGATGAAAAATAAATGCAAATATATATGCAATAATTTTAGGCAAACATTTCAAAAGGTGTTGACAGGTGACACCGCTTGGTAGAAATAGTGTTGAATAATATACTAATACACTTGAATGTCTACGTGAATATAGATATCGTTCATGTGTCAATGGTATAGGTCTCGCGGCTGGTCATTCTGCATGAAGAGGCTGAAGATGGGAATGCAATGCCCGATTTGGGGAGACCTGTGCAAGCAGTTAGCATGGCAGTGGCGAATCTCGTTAAGGCGAGGCATTGTAACATGAAATTCAGTTTTGTCGATCGTTGAAATTCGTTTACGAAACTTTTTTTAATTCGACCAACAGGTGGGGAAAGAGACGATCAATTCTTCTGACGATGCTCTGCTCAAACAAGATATGCCCGCTGCGTTGCAACGTGTCGAAGGTGCCTCGCGCCTCTTGGAAGAGGCTTCGGCAATGTTGAAACAAGATCCGTACTCTGGACCTGCTAGGTATTCAAAATAGAACGTGATATGAATACACCTGTTTAGGGAATATTGATCGCTTGATGAAACGTCTCTTAGGAAGAAGCTTATCGAGGGCTCGCGTGGAATTCTTCAAGGAACCAGCTCCTTATTGCTGTGCTTTGACGAGAGCGAAGTACGAAAAATCATTCGAGAATGTAAAAGAGTATTGGATTACTTGGCAGTCACGGAAGTTATCGAAACGATGGAAGACTTGGTTCATTTTCTTAAAAACTTGAGTCCTTGCCTCAGTAAAGTGTCGAAAGAAGTGAGCGCTCGTGAGAAGGAGTTGACCCATCAAGTGCACAGAGAGATTCTAGTACGCTGCTTGGAGCAGGTAATCCATTTTTCCGTTCCGTTCTTAACCTAAACATTTCCTTCATACTGATGTTTCTTCACCCACTGTTTCGATCGGTGATAGGTGAAAACGCTCGCACCGATTCTCATCTGCTCCATGAAAATATTCATTCACATCATCTCTCAAGGAGGTAAAGGGGCGGAGGAAGCTGCCGAGAATCGGAATTACTTGTCCGGCAGAATGTCGGACGAGTTGAACGAGATCATTAGAGTGCTGCAACTGACGACGTACGACGAGGAAGAATGGGACGCCGACCAGCTGACCGTACGTGTTCCGACTCGCGCGTCTCCACACGCGAAGAACATTACCATTTACCGTTTTGTGTTCAGGTACTGAAAAAGGCTCAAAGCGCCATAGAGTCTCGAATAAGAGCCGCGTACGACTGGTTGGACGACGGACTCGCTTTGCGCGGCGGAGTAGGAGAAAAGAGTCTTCGGCAAATAATCCAACAGGCGCAAAGATTGGCAGAAAGATATCTACCGCCCTCGCAAGCCGAACCGTTGCAAAAATTATCATCGCAAATCGCTACCATGACCAACGCTCTTTGTGAACTGAGGCAAAATGAGAAAGGTTCGCGTGAAACTTTGCACACGCATAGAAATATATTATTTGTTGTTAATGGTCTTCTGGTTGAAGGAACTACGCCGCAGGCAGAAGCCCTGGCACGTGGTATAAAGGAGAAGACGAATGAACTTCGCAGCGCTATCGCCTCTGCCATAGTCTCCGCTGATAAATCCGGAACTACGCAAACGGCTCACACGGTCGCGGGTCGTTTAGAACAAGCAAACAAGTGGCTTCTTAATCCGCAACAGGATGACAAAGGACTCGGTCAGAGAGCCATAGCTTTAATCATACACGAGGGGAAAAAGGTAACAGAGTAGGAAACGTTCTCTTTTCTTTTTATTTTTCGTATCAACTGTACGGGTGCGACTCTGGAATTTCATTGCTTGACTTTAACGATTTGAATGCCGCAAACGGAAAGAATCAGCAACACGTGGCGAGCGTAAGTTGGGCGCAGGCAAACCGACTACTTGACTTAATTACTTTTGCCGGTGTCACGATTCTTGTAATGCGAGCCTGTAATTTTTTTAAAATAAGTTCATCGAATCGTTCTGTAAACCCGTCACAGGTCGCCGAGGGTCTGCCGGGAATACACAAAGCAGAGATTTTACAATTGTGCGAACAAGTCGACGACCTTTCCCATCAACTCGGAGATCTATGCGCTCACGGTCAAGGAAACACTCCTCGCGCTCAAGAGATCGCTCGTCAGCTATCGCACAAGTTGTACGAGCTCAAGAACAGAATACAACAGGCCGTTGTGTCTAGAGTGGTTGAAGATTTCATCGACATAACTACGCCGCTGAAGCAATTTACAGACGCTGTGTTGGCACCGATCGGCACTCTGGGCCGCGACCAAAACTTTAACGACAAAACGCATGCTCTTCAGACGTTTTCCAATAGGGCGGCCAAGACTGCCAGGATGGTGGCTGCCGGAGGTATTCGTACGCGAATATCATCGTTATCATCGTTTCTATCGTCATCCATTCGTTTGTGTAATTTCAGGAAGCGGAGGAAACAAGAAACTCGCGGAAGCATTGACCGCGAGTGCCTCGCAGGTCGAGTCGCTGACGCCGCAATTAATCAACGCTGGACGCATTCGTATGACCTATCCGGACAGCAGGGCGGCCGATGAACATTTTGAGAATCTGCGACAACAGTACGCGGAAACGATGCAACGAGCGCGCGCGTTGTGCGACGAAGCGACCGATAGTGGAGATTTCATCAGGACCTCGGAGGAACAGATGCAGAAACATTCGTTCCTCTGCGAGGAGGCAATCGCAAAGAGCCATCCTCAAAAGATGGTCGACAACACCGCCGCGATCGCCAGACTGGCCAACCGAGTGATACTCGTGGCGAAGCAAGAGAGCGACAACAGCGAAGATCCTGCTTTCATTCAAAGAGTCAATCGTGCCACGGATATTCTTCAAAACAGTGAGTGTCGTCTCGACACTTTTCCGTCTCTTGGACTTTTTTTTTTTTGTAAAACCTAATTCGGTTCTTTAGGCGTGGCTCCAATGGTTCAAGACGCGAAACTGGTTGCAATTAACATTAGCGACAGTAACGCGATTTCACGTTGGCGAGAAAGCAACCGGACGGTAAGTGGAATGAAGCATCGTCAATTGTTTCACTGTCATCAGTGATTGACTTGTACGTTACAGCTCCTGACTAACGTGGGACAAGTTCGTAAGGCCATAGTCGTTCAACCAGATTTGATACCCCCGCCAGAAATATCGCAGCTACATCTCAACGACGGTAAGTACACGAAAACTTTTTACATTTCGTATGTTTTGTAAAAATGTCATCAAACTACAAAGAGCCAGGGACTTGACGTTGTGAACGTCTAATCGGTGATTTATACTGTATCGAAAACGACTTGCGTTCTATTCGTAAAATGAAAAAGTTCTGAACGTATTTCTTCCAGAAACAAAACAATTGCCAAGCCGTCGATATAATTACTTCACCGACAAAGGTACTATACACACACACGAGCATGAGAATAATTTGTGCATGATTGTATTACTGAATACTTTAGTAGATGAACGCGATTAAGCGAGGATAACAGTTCAAAGCATCATTTCAGCGATCACTAAATTCATTTCATATTTCACGTTCGTCACGGAACGTCGAGAAAAGAGGCATTACTTTTGTTTTACACCATTATTTTATATTTTCAACAAGGAAATTTGAACATTTCTTTAAACGCTAGTTGGTGAACCGTTGAGAAATCAGCCTTCGCCGAGCAATTTATGTGTCATCAGCACTAGTCTGAACACAAATAAACCCCGGTCCGTCAGTCCGTTACCAAAGTGGGCACGCGAAGGTATTTACGACCATTTGCAGAAAAAACAATAGACAATTTTCGATCGACTCCCCGAGACGGTAATTATTTTTTTTTCATCAGGAGATAATCCAGATCTCCTCTATCAAGAACTGGCTTCTGACAACGAGTTGGAAAAATCAGTTCACGACGGAGGTAATTGGCTAACATTATTGGGGATTGTGTTTGATGCTCGAAACTTTCGTTTTACCCCATGGGGCGAGAGCATGCGTATATTAAAATTGAACGTGTATTATTTTATAATTTTTTCAACAGGAGCAAAAGTTAAAAGTACAAATAAAAGACGTGCTCTACGTTCATTTTCATGCTCGATAAACATTACATTACAGTACATATCTACCATACATTCCGAATTAGTATTATAGTATTTACAATAATACGCAAACTGTTTAATTTTCATTTTACGCAACAACAGTGTTCCCCCTTGTTGTTTAACAATCTTTTTCAATACACTGTTTCTTGCCGCCGCCGCATGTTACACACTAAAACGACCGTCAAATTTTGTACGTAAGCAGCAAAATTATTAATAAACGTTTGTGCTGTTAACGCTGCGTGGAATGAAAGACTACCATTACGATTATGATGATGACGATGGTAATTATGGCACGTGTGTATGGTCTTTGATTATGCTAAATTTCGTGTGTAAGGGAACGTTTCATGGGGGATGGGGACAGTTCTTACGCTATAAAGAAACAATTCTGTTCTACATAGAAGTCGCTCCACCGCGTCCACCGTTACCCGGTGGAGATGTCCCACCTCCTCGACCTCCGCCGCCAGAGACGGACGACGAGGACGAAATGTTCATGCACGCACCGCAGCCTAACCAGCCTATAATGGTACGTCGTCGAATTGGTGGTTTACTTGATTCTTCTCCAACACCTCAACACCGAGAAAATTTCAGATGGCTGCTCACGGCTTGCACCAAGAAGTGCGACAGTGGTCGAGCAAGGACAATGAGATCATTGCCGCTGCGAAGAAGATGGCATTCTTAATGGGCAGATTGTCGGGTTTAGTGAGAGGAGAAGGTGGCAACAAGAGGGACCTGATCGCTTGCGCCAAAGCCATCGCCGAAGCTTCTCAGGAAGTGACTCGTCTGGCTAAAGAATTGGCCAGAGAGTGTACCGACAAACGTATTCGTACGGTACGTTTCCAGCGATCACTACTATACACGTGTACATTAAACTTGCCGACATCGTTGTTGTTCCGTTGTTTCAGAATCTTCTCCAAGTCTGCGAACGCATACCTACGATTGGTACGCAACTAAAAATATTGTCAACAGTGAAAGCTACCATGTTGGGCGCACAAGGTACGGTAAAAGTATTATTCAAGTCGGTCTACTTGAGAAATATTCATAATCGATTACGCTACTCGGACTGTGTGAAAGTTTATAGAAAATCAGCAGCAACAGCACAGAGAGTTCTGTATTTTAAAAACATTTAACGTCGGAAACAGTTATTAATCAAGTTCATTTTCATACATAGAGACGCTCCCCACCTGGGAAGAGTTGATGCTTTATGGTAAAAATGTTGACAAGTTATGCTTGACGTTTTCCTTGGCATTTTTTTTTTTTTTCGCGTGACAACGACCGTTGGGACAATTTCACTTTTGCACTCGCAATGCATGCATATCTTTAGCCTTCCCCGCAGTGAAAAGATTCGACGAGCTCGAGTCGTTACCACCGAGGGTTTTAATATTACGTTCAAATTCACGTAGTTCACGAATGAAACGTTTCGAGTAGATTACGTCTAATCCGACATTGTCAATCTTCTAATTTTCAATTTAATTATTTTATCATCTTGAATGGTATGCGGTATTGATATATACCTCCTCTCTGCTCATCGTGGTGTAGACGAATTGATTGGCCGCAGTAAGTTTATTACAAAGTACGAGTATGAGTTGGCATAGAAAATTTAGATTTGAATATAATATCTGTTATACTCTTTAAAAGACACGATTCGTATGATTCACACGTAATTCAGTTCAGTAAGCTTAGTTTAATTTAGTACAAAATTACCTATTTATTTAACTTGCACCGTTGTTACACGTCTCGTCCGTATGTACGTAATAATTAGTACTTTTGCATGGTCTTCGTTACCTCGTCGACAAACACCGTATCGTACACTGACCCGTGCTGCACTGACCTCAAACGATTAGCTTCTTTCCCCATGCCATGTGCAATACCAAAATCGTTTCGTATCATAAACGTATAAAAATCATACAAGTATTACTACAGATAGAGTAGGGAAGACATAGGCTTTTGTGTAAGTGGTACCGTATACTCATTAGATAGAGAAAGAAAATAGAAGACCTCTTTCTATCATGCGATAGTAGAAAGAGATAAAGAGAGGTCTCTTATTGTCTCTCTATCTTTCTGTTCAGGATACGGTTTTCGGGCAACCTTCTGCCTACTCTATCTGTAATATCTCTATGGTAAGAATAGACCATAGACAATAGGGATACAGAGATTGGCCCGTATCATTATCTTTTACTTGTACGGTTTCCAAACACTTGTATATAGGCTCGGCACGCGGTCTATTCTTATACGCCATACTTCGTATATACCAACACGTACTGCTGCATGTATAGTTTTCGATGCAAGTAATAATTATTACAAGACTCACTTTTATCGATACAAACGAGAAGGCACGTATTCGATATGGACAAGTGTCAGTCAAACGATTAATCCTCTGTTCATTCAAGTATCGTGTGCGTTAATTATACAATGTAGCATATTATTGAGGATTCAATAGTAGACACTATATACTATACCTGAGTTCCCGAGAGTCTAGAAGCGTTTCGCGCAGCTTGGTAGGTGGTACGGGTCGCAGCGAACTCGCCCCACACGGTTCAATTATACACGGTAAAGCATTGAGATGCGTAGAACGATCAAAAACTGAACTGTGCCCGCTTCTAGACTCTCGGGAACTCAGGTATAGACACGTTTGACGCTTGTGTTCAGACTCGTCTAATTCTTATTCGTAAAACGTACAGGTACGGAAGAAGATCAGGAGGCAACAGACATGTTAGTCGGGAACGCCCAGAATCTGATGCAGAGCGTGAAAGAAACGGTTCGCGCGGCAGAGTGCGCCAGCATAAAAATACGCACCGCGTCTGGTATGAAATTACGCTGGGTGCGACGCCAGCCTTGGTATCAATACTAAAGTAATAGGTTGCAACGATGAAAGTGAATTACGACTAATACAGGTAAAATTTCCCAATACTAGATAATAATAGTAGATTGTAAAAGTCTCGGTTCCGCATAATATGAAAGTGTCCTAACGAGGGACGGGCGGTCAGGTTTTCTTAACGGCAGATTTCGGACCGCTTTGTACCGCGGTTCGGATCGCGTTCTTCTTTTAATATACAGTTCAATAGTCATTTACACGTATACACGACTAACTGATAATGTTCATAACGTAACGAACGAGCTAGTGATTAAATAAGATAAAAATGTTGGAGAGATTATTCGGGCGATGTAAAAGCTGATGCAGTTAAAGATATTTTCAGACGAAACATTTAAAGGGACGGATCAGTTTACGAGAGTCTTGTTACACACACACTGTTACATTGAAAACTGTAGGAGACGGTAAGATGGAGAGCTCATGCCTTATATAAAATCACCAATTTGCTGCGTAGTTTTTCACATACCCGAGTGTATTAGCTACACGTGTACAAAGCGCGGGCGGCGGCGGTCAAACTGGTATACTAAAACCGAAGACGATCGTTGCGCGAAAATTTTTGTATCCGAACGAATATAGAACGAGACAGACAATTTTACCGTTGTGTGCCCGTCTCCTCGTTCGTTTTTCCACGAGGTAAACTTGTTTACGGCACGATTAGTGAGAGAACAAATTTTTCTCAAGATGCCATATATTATATAATCGGAGATGGTACGAGGTATTTTTTCAAAGCCCGAAAAGTGGTCGAACACAACGGGTGCCGCAGATACATAGAAAGTAGCAGAAAAAAGCCTCGTCTGCAATACTACGTGACGAGAAAATCTATTTTTGCAAGTTTTACCTAATCGTTCTTTTTAGAGGATTTACATAGACGTCTTTGACGTATACTCGTCCTTTCTAAACTGGTGCTAAACATGTACGTGCAATCTGTATACATACGATTATATACATATATTTATATAAGAACGAGCAATTATTGAGCCAAATACGTGGAATGAATTTAACAAGGTATTTTAAAAAGGAAAATAGATTTTATAGCGTGAAAGAATGTTTTATAGCGCGTAAAACGATAGTTTTGGTAATCTGGTAATAACGCCAGATAATTTCATGTAAGACTTAATTACCGTAATAAAGATCGATTTTTATTTATATAATACAAATATAAAAGAGTGCTTCGTGTGTGAAGACAGAATTATGTACAACTTACGGCGTAATAAAATTGGCGAGAGCATCACTCGATCGAGTCGCCCTTTTCATATCGGATGAATGCCCGGGGAATGCACGACTCCTGGTATTTTGTTCTTTGGTATCTTCCCTGGCCTCAAGTAAGGATTGTCTATAGCGTCTTGCTGCGCAGCCGTCTCTCCGTTTTGTTCACCGTCTTCGTTCTGTCCTTTCATACCTGCGCATCGTAAAACTGTGTCAGTCGTATCGATAGAAACGATTCGTGTCGACGTACTTCTCTCCTCTGGTTCTTCGATCTCTTGCTCCTTCTTCTTATTCTTGACCGGGCTCGGCTCGAAATGGAAATCTTGGTCGGCCTCGAATATTTGATCTTGCGGAAGAAGCGCGGAAAGGTAACTAGGAAATTGTGGCTTACACGCAATCACTGAAAATAAGATTGATGCGAAATCTACGATGCACGCGCGCACACGAGACTCTCGTGAAAACGTTACTTACACGGAAACATGCTATTGTCTTCTGTTAAAAACAAACTGTGCGTTTCCCCGGTTTTCGCGATGAACCTCGTCAGTGCTCTTTCAATATCACGCTTCTGTGTAGCTGCTTTCTCTCTTATCGCCTCATACTCGGTTACCGGCTGTTTGTGCGTCTGTGTTTACGAGCAAACGAAAAGCTGTAGGTTAATTCGGTGTACGATGAAAAAGTACAAAGCATCCTTCTCTCTTCGTGACGACGACGACGATGACGACGACAACAACAACAACGTTGTATCTAAATTTCTTTGGGCAATTGTACTTTACCGGCGTTCTGATGTACGCGTGGGGGTCGGGGAAAGGTGGCAAGTAACTCGGTATATGCGACGGATGACTGTGTTTCACTCCGGCCTGTAGGATGTTCAACTGCTTTGCTTGAGTCTGTTGCTGAAGGGGAGGTAACACTGTCCTGTTTGTTCTCTTGCCATAATTTTCCATGTTGTCCACTTTTATCCCCATGTTTATCAGTGCCACGATAACGTCGGCAATGAGCGGCTCTGTTCTACCAGACAGTTCACAGTAATTCCTTGCGGACTCTCCGACTTCCACGATAACTGAAAACCAGACAATTTATCTACAGGGATAATAAAATAATGGACGAAATGGACGAGTGACTTGTGTGATTTCACACGTTGAAGATGAACGTAACCTAAGGTAGGTAGGTATTGGGAGGGAATACTTGCAAGATTGTATCATTTCTGTCAGTGTTTCCAACGCTTGCTTCTCGCAAGTGTCGTAACCGCATTCCACTAAAATACTACAAACTACGTGATTTAATATTTTCCGTCTGGTATTTGTCGTTTGAACGTCCATGTTGTTTATATACGACGCAAACATGAAGAAGAGTCGGACGGGTCGGGCGCCTCTACGTATGGGTAACGTTCATTGATGGTTGGTGATCAACTAGTACTAGACTGACTAGACTCCCGCAGGCCGCAGGGCGCAGGCTAGTAACTTCTACGGCGCACGTCCCAAAATTCCCACAATGTGCCCATGACGGTCCGTCAAATGTCCGTGCCGCTGCTGCCGCCGAAGCCGAATACTGCCGAGGAGAAGCAGTGTGTTTGATCAGAGATGAAAAGGGAGATTGCTCATTTCTTTGTTCGAAAGTGGATACGGCTCACTACCGCACCCTAGTGTCAATGTCCATTATTTAAGGGGAAATAGACGTAGTTTAGGAGGGATTGTGCACTACTCCCCTCAAAAAGTGGATACGCCGTACAGAGCTGAAAATATACGTATAAGATTTGCCATGCTCGTGCCTAGGGTATTCGTCTACAAGCGCTCCATCTCGCGGCCGGCTTCGTGCATCTCCTAAAAGAAGGGGCGCGTGTCGAGTGACGCAGTACGTGCGTGTGTGCGTGCTGACTGTCAGGCAAGCGAATTCTAAATTCACTCCTCGAGGCTCGGAATCTTCGACGCTTCGAGACTCGGAGTCTTCGAGGCTCCGTGTGTTCGAAACCCAGACAATCCACTCTTTTTTTCTTTGTTGTTTATTCATCTGAAAAAATTCCAACACGTCCGTAGCATAACTGGACACATCTGAGAATTATTTCAGATTTTTTTGTTACAAAATGTAACCGTGAAAAATAAGAAGGTGCTAAACATATTTTTGTTCACATAGAAATCGTTCGGATACACTGTCCATATTTTTATGATAGATTCTTATTGCCGCAAGAATTGTTCATGAATTTTTTCAGATTTTTAGGTTTGGTGCGTCAAT